ATAGGCTATTCAGAAATTATAATAATGTAATTGTCGCCTGGCCAGAAAAAAAAATGGAGTAATATCCGGTGAACACTTGACTTTTCCATCATTCCTGTGTTTCTAAAATTGTATCAAAAACCATAAAAAGACATTAATTGAACCTAGGAACTCACTTCTGAATAATGGTTTCAATTGATTTAGGCGTTTTCGAGTTATAAAAAATAAAAGCAATTTTTTTGCTAACTTTGAAGTCCTCTAGCGGCAAAACGAAGCTACTTTGGAGATAGATACCTTAACTTAAATCGACCTATTTTGAGCCAAGGAATCTGTGGTCTTCCGTTGTATACGCATTTCGGAGACATCTGTATATAGTTTTATAAACTCTTAATTTTGTATTTGTTCTGACTTCTTTCTTGCCCACAATTGTGTTATTCATTTGGTAATATACATTACTTGCTTTTCGCATTCTATTTGGATATGTCTGTCTATTGTTGCATTCTCAGTAATAATGGTGCCCAATTATTCAAATTTATCCACAATTTCCAGTTTTTCCTGTTTTTATCCTTTTCCCCTTTATTTCATGCATATGAAACAGAGGGACAGCCTGAGCCCACTACTGTTTGTGATTTTTATCGATCCAATAATTAAGAAGTGTAAAACAAGAACAAGACCTTCTACAATATGTTATTACAAATTAACACCTTTGACCTAATGTATGCAGACGATATAATGGTGATAGCAAGTACGAAAACAGAACTACAAAGAAAATTTGCCACCTGGAAAACCTGTTTGAAAGAAAGGGTAATGCAAATAAATATTGTGAATTTCACTTAAGATGCAATATACAAAATGTACAAAAATATATTTCCAAGAAACCAGGGCGTACCTACTTACTTTGTCCTACATAAAATGCAACATGTCAATATGCAGTTAGTCACAAAAGTCTATATACACCAAGTAAATAGCTCCAGTTAAATAATACGTCATATTATTGAACATTTCGTTTTAAAAATATTTATTACTACCTGAATGTAGACAATTTTGAAACATCATAACTATTTTACAATAATACAATCTTAGGAAAAAAAATTAAACTAAAATTAACAGCTCACAAAAGTCTACAAACACATGTATAACACTTGAAATTATTAAGTCAAATACAAAAATTTTAATATTTTCTAGGTCCACCCTAACTGAGAGAACTGACTGGAGATTCTCTGTTACACTGACTGGTATTTCAGTCCAAGCTTTGTCTAGCGCATCTTTTAACGATTGCTTATTTTTAACATTGTATTTACGGACCCTTCGTTTTACCTCATCCCAAATGTGCTCAATAAAGCTGAGATCCGGCGATTGGGGCGGCGAATCCTTAGAAAGAACCAGCGATTTCCAAGCCCTAAGCGCTCTGCTGCTGTTTTAACATTGTCTTGCAATATTTCCAAATACCGTCTATAGTCCATGATACCATCAATAAAAATCAAATTTCCTAGCCCAGAAGCCGCCATTGAGCCCCAAAACATTGCCAAACCTCCACCATGTTTAACGGTTGGGAGCAAATTTTTTGCTTCCATTTGTTGGTTTGCCTTCCGCTAAATTTTTCCTCTACCATCCAATCCGAAAATATTATACTTACTTTCATCAGTAAACAGTACTGCTTTCCAAAATTCAAAGTCACTTGCAAGATATCTTTTAGTAAATTCAATCCTTTTCTGCCTGTTTTGTTGAGAAATCAAAGATTTTCTTCATGGAACTCGTCCATTAAATCCATTAAATCTTAACACTCTACGTACAGTTTCTGGATGCACGACTTTATGGGTAGCTTGTTGAATTTCTTCTGCCAGTTGAGGAGCACTTCTTCTGAGATTTTCTTACACCTGTTTTAAAATTGTCCGGATATCACGTTGATTTAAAACTGTTGGACAACCAATGTGTGATTTATTTAATACACTTCCACTTAAATTATAATTTTTTATAATTGTTCGGATTGTTGCTCAACTTTTGTCAACAGTTTCACCATATGATTTTGACCAGATTGCAATGTTGCATAGAGAATAATGGGTATTTGAGGTATTATACAAAATACTGATATTTGATGGTATAATGGATCATATGAAATTCTCCCCAATTAGATTATTATAATATTTATTATATTTTATATGTATAATAATATATTATATTTTTTGTTATATAGGAGTGTTATATTTTATTATATTGATTTTTGATTGTTTGATTTTATTACATTAAAATGGTTTGTGATATATTTCAATATATGTATAGTTTATATATAACTTATTATCAATATATCATTTTCATTTCTTTTGAGGTTCGACGTATCCTTCCACTGTATTACCAAAGTAATACAGTAATTATTAGTAATTATTTTCATTTACTACAGGAATTGTGTAAAGTAAATGAATTGCTTATACCTATTTATTTTCTTAATTTTTCTTTGTGATTCAGTCATCTTGGCCATAAATCACACCACCCCGCTTGCCTGTTCGGAACTTTTACAAGACTACAGAGCAGGTAAAACCGAATTGAATGCCTCGTGAACGTAGGTCGTTTCTAGCACAATTTTATGCCTCTACGAGCGGCTCTTTTCGCATTATATCTGAACAGAACTGTACATAATAAAATACTATTTTTACAAAATTTTACATAGAACACGATCTCGCGCGTCTTTTTTGTTTTCAACTTCAACTGATATTTCTTTTCTTTCCATATTATTTTAAATTATATAATATTCACTAGTAAGTTAAGTAGAAACTATGTATATCATAAACTTTTTAAACATAAAATAACATAAATATTAACTAGAAATGTCTGTGTAAGCTCTTTTGTATCAAATCCGTAACTGTATGTTGACTTTTGTGAGGTTTATCTGTCAGTACTCAATATTTTGCTCCGTCTATGCAGCACTTGATTTAGTACTATTTTATGTGGTATGCTCGTCAATAAACACAAGTAGTTTTAAATGTAACACAAAGATGAGTTTAATAGTCTTTATTGCGATATCTATATTTATATAGATATTATTGCTATTTTAGGTGCTGTATATAGACTTTTGTGACTAACTGTAATTTGACATTACAGTAAAGCTTCGATATAACTAATCAATACTGGGAACGCAGAGTCCGTTTTAGCTCAATAAAAATATACAACAATTTAGCGCTGAATAACAACTAAAACTAGACTAACACTAGCAGGAGCTTTAGTTAGCATAAAATATCACTATGTTGCATATTTTTATTGAACTAAAACTAGAGCTAACACAAGATCTAGAACTAGAATCATTCGGGTTTAGCCGTCTTGAAGCCGTTGGTGTAGAAATACAAGCTTATGTTGATGGCATTGTCGTTATGGTCAAAGGAACCTATTTGTCAAGGATATCTAAAGTCCTCCAGATGACCCTAGATACCATTTGCGCTTGGTGTAAGGGAGAAAACCTCTCGATAAACCCGCGACTAATCCGCCCAACTATCCAAGATGAAGAAATTCCTTTCTTAAAGGAAGTCAAATATCTAGGAGTAATCCTAGACAAAATTCTGTCATGGAATGGACATTTGCAGGGAGTTTTGCACAAAGCTAGACTATCCTTGTGGACTTGTCGCAGTCTTTGTAGAAATAATTGGGGTCTTACCCCTGAAAAACTATACTGGCTCTATGTGACTGTGGTTAGACCTATGATCCTCGTATGTGGAGCAGCAGCCTGGTATAGGAAAGTCCGACAGACTTCAGTTATTACTAAACTTGCACAAATTCAACGGGTAGCTGGATTGACAATCTCTGGTGCGATAAGCACAACGCCAACTCTAGCAATGGAGGTTCTGCTTGGCCTATCTCCTCTGTATTTGCATATAGAGAAAGTGGCTAGAACAATCATTTACAGATTTAAGCAATATGCTCAAAACTGTTCCGACATGTCCTACTAATGGGGTGCGGAAGACATTATAAGCACTGATACTGTGCTATCAATGCCGTCAGATTTGGCGGGTTTACTATCAGTGATTAATGCTCTATACCAAATGCGGCCTTGGCAAATGCAATTACAAATATTTTGGAGATTCAAATGACCGAGAAAATTTGTCTCAAACAAAGTACAGAATTCGAAAATATAATTAGCTAAACTAAACTAACAGGTTTATAGCTGGAATTGAAAAGAACATCGCCTCTATTTTAAACATGAAGGATGTTACCTTTTATGTTAACAATACTTCAAGTTTAGCCGTCTTGAGAGACGTGCGGTTAAATCCGATACTTTCTAGTTCTAGGTCTTGTGTTAGTTCTAGTTTTATACTAGCACTATAGCACTATATTATATTTCATACTAACACAAGACCTAGAACTAGAATCATTGCAGTTTAGCTGTATTGAGAGACGTCCGAACGTTTCTATTTCTAGTTTTAATTGTTATTCAGCATTAGATTGTGGTATATTTTTATTGAACAAAAAGTAGAACTAACACTAGACCTAGAACCAGAAACATTCGGGTTTAGCAGTGCGTCTCTTAAGACGAAAACTCAGAGTTATCATAAGGACATCACCTTCTCCAAGCAAAACGTTTCCTTGGAAAATTATTGTGTAGTTTTGCCTGTACTATTAAGCTATGTTGCATTTTATGTTTGACAGTAGAAGTGCATAGTAGTTTCATATCTTTGGTTATTGTGAGATATGAAATTCCTAGTGGAGAAGACCAAGATTATGCATATAACAAAATCAAAAACAATTTATAATAATGTTACAATTTATTGTGTTATAAAACCTTGCAAATATTAATCCAAGAATGAAAAATAATTCTAACATTAAAGCACCTAAGTAAAAATTTTTTAATATGGCTAAATTTTTATGTAGTATAAAAAAATTGTATTATTACATAATAATAGAAATTCCAAATCTAAAAAGAAATATAAAACCCCTTTCAGTCACATCCCAATTTTCATTTTCTCTTAAATTATAATTCTTTTACATCTATAAATTAAAAAAACCATTTCTTCATTTAAATAACTTTCTCATTTTACTTTTTTACTCGAATCAAATATACCCAAAACTTATTGTTCATCCTTTTCCTTAGCTCCATGTTTCAAAATACGAGTAAATTCAACATAATCGAAAACTCCCCCCTTAATTGGAGCCTCCCTAAACATCTCATCAACCTCATCATCAGTAAATCTATCTCCCATGGTTGTTAATAATTCCCTTAGACGTTCTTCATTGATTACGCCTGTATTTTCTTCATCAAAACACCCAAAAGCATTCTTAATAACATCTTCTGGATCAGTACCTTGAAGGCGTTCACCAAAAAGTGTTAAGAACATGGTGAAATTAATAGGGCCTGGCGCTTCATTCATCATTCCATCCAAGTAATCATCACTGGGGTTTTTACCTAAAGAAGCCAACATGTCGTGGAGATCTTCTTTGTCAACAAACCCATCGTGATTTTGGTCAATCATGTTAAATGCTTCTTTGAATTCAGCAATTTGAGCCTGATCGAACATGGCAAAAACGTTGGAGGTGGCTCTTTGAGCACGTTTTTTCGTTGTTCCACGACGGCTTACGGTTTTACGGGAAGACATGGTGTTCTAAAATAAAATTGTATACGTCAGAAAATGATAACAAAAGGATATGGTAAAATATTAAGGAAAATCTAGACGTTAATAAGCAAGGTTAAAATGAGGAATGAATATATGTAAAACAAACGGTTTTAATTAAATCTTAATTACTTACGGTTAGTTTAAGCAAAGGTAAAAAGCGTTTATATCCAAAAGAACAACGTAGATTAACTGAAGAGGAATTTCTTCGGGTAAATAAAACTGGTCAGTGATTCAGTTTGCTCACACCACACCTAGGTTACCAACCAATCAAAACACAAAGATTTTTTGAAGTTTTAGCGGGAAATTTAAATTGCTATCTCGAAAAAGAGAAATTTTAAAAGTTTCTTTTAGAATTTGATCGGTTGTAATTAAGTATTAGTTAAGATATGTAATGTTCTTTAAAATTATTCGAAAATAGTTTAATATCTTTACCATGTGGTGATTTTTTTGAGAAAGTTTTTGTGTAAAAAGAGGTCATGGCGGTTTTATCCTTATTTGGGCAAAATAGTCATCGATAAACGTAACATATGATAAAAGTTCTTAAAATTCTTGGTTTATCTTAAATATACGGAAAACAGTTTTGGTGTAAGATAACAATGAAAAAACCTTAATTTTTTTAAGAATAATTTTTTTTTATTTTTGGTGTTATGTATTATATTTTTAAGAGATAAAACAACTACAAAGTATTTCTTATACATAACTTTTATATATAAATAATTATTATTTAGTAATAAAGTACAATTTTTATAAAAATTAATTTTAATGTGTTACTCATAAAATATAGGCAACCCAATTAACGACGTTATTTTGAACTCAATTCGGTCAACGTATTCTTCATAATTTTAAACGTTTATTTATAAATACGTTCCATAAATACTTTTTTAAAACTTATAATATCGATTTAAAACTTATTTACAAATAACATTAAAGAATACGTTTATTAATTGTAATTTTTAAACGAACCAACAACGGTTTCGTTGGTACTCAATCATAACGTTAAATGAAACATTTATTAAAAACTGAATATATAAAAATGAAGTATTTGTTGAAACAAGCTATGTTATTAAACAAGAATACTTTCTTAATTTAGTAATTAAGAAATAATTTAATAATTTAATATTGATGTGAATCCTGCATTACTATGCAGGATTCACATCAATATTTAGCCTTCACTGTCATCTGAAATGTTGCCTGAAAAACCAAATATAAATACAGGGTTTCCCAAAAGTCCCGGGACGGAGCTATAAGTTTTGAACAAGTGAAGAAAAAAATTTGAAAATTTGGGGATCACTAAAGAGTCATAAAAACTATATTCTTAGATAGTTTAGAACTTCCATGCAATGTGGAGTTTTTTTAGGGGATGACCACCTCTACATTTTTAAATAGCAACCCCTGTCGAGTTTTACCTTATTTTAAAGGTAATTAAAAAAGAAACACAACCCCATAAACCAAAACCCGATATCTTAATTCTTTCAAGAATTATGAGGGGTTGACTACCAAATGGGAAAATAAAATGTTTTCATGTTTTTTTGCACGTTTGTTACGATTTTTATAACAAATGTTCAAATTGTCGACCTTCTTCGGTCTCGCAATGACCCAAACGCTCATAAATGGAATTTTGAACCATCAGGAGCATATCCCTAATGATAGTGGTGGTTTCCTAGTGATTGGAGTGACGAAAATCCATGTTTAATAAGAGAAGATCATACTCAGAGATCACAAAAAATTAATATATGGGCTGGTATTATGGGAGAGAATGTAATTGGTCCATTTTTAATTAATGAAAATTTGGACGGAGACTGATATCTGCAACTGTTAGAAAATCAAGTGGTTCCAAGTGTACAGTTCTGTTCAGATATAATGCGAAAAGAGCCGCTCGTAGAGGCATGAAATTGTACTAGAAACGACCTACGTTCACGAGGCATTCAATCCAAGTTTTATCTGCTCTGTAGTGTTGTAAAAGTTCCGAACATGCATGCGGGGTGATGTGATTTATGGCCAAGATGACTGAATCACAAAGAAAAATTAAGAAAATAAATAAGTATAAGCAATCCATTTACTTTACACAATTCCTGTAGTAAATGAAAATAATTACTAATAATTACTGTATTACTTTGGTAATACAGTGGAACGATAAGTCGAACCTCATAAGAAATGAAAATTATATATTGATAGTAAGTTATATATAAACTATATATTGAAATATATCGCAAACAATTTTAATATAATAAAATCAAAAATCAGTATAATAAAATATACTACTCCTATATAACAAAAAATATAATATATTATTTTATCTACGACTGCTTGGATAAGCCATCATTACCGCACTCATTTGAGGTAATTTGAGTTACGTAATGAAGTTCATTACCGCACTGGTTTCATTACGTAACGCATTTTTAGCCTAATCAGAACAGACTTAATTTATTGAAACGAGCAACAATACAAAAGAAAACGTGCTATCTACTTACATAAACAATACTATTTATTATAAACATTAATTATTATGTTTTTACATTTCAAAACACTTATTCCAGATAAGTAAACATGTTGTTGAAACTGACAATTCAAAATTGTCAACAATCATTTCAGAATATTTTTATAAATGTCAAATAGACTTTTTTAAAGAAATTGATTTTTTAGTAATTTTTAGCAGTCGTAGATAAAATGCTGTATATCACACGTGGGCTAGAGCATAATTACAGCATAAAACACTCGTACTGTAATTATGTTTCTAGCCCACTTGTAATATAAATAATTAATACATAATATAAAATATAATAAATATTATAATAATCTAATTGGGGAGAATTTTATAAGGTCCATTATACCATCAAATATTATCAGTATTTTGTATAATACCAACCCATTATTCTCTATGCAACATTGCAATCTGGTGGACATCGAATTTACTACTCTTTTGCACATATCCTTGCCGTGAAACAATTCCCACACAACTGAAATGTTGCGGCGCAGATTATCCACGTTGCGAATCGAAAAGTTGGCATTTTTATTGAACTGTTTTTCCACCAAAGCCCATAGATTTTCGATTGGGTTAAGATCAGGTGACCGCGCTGGCCAGGGTATTCGTTTAACCTCATTATGATCGTCAAACCAATCATGAACAATTCTTGAAGAATGCACGGGTGAATTGTCTTGGACAATCCCTTCTGGATACAAGGTTCTTACTGATGGTATCAAAACATCCTCCAGCAGTCGAATGTATTCAATCCAATTAAATATTTTATAATTGTGGACGTTGTAAATGGATTGGCGGTGACGTATTCAGCAATTCCCCTTCGTTGAGCATTATTAAGAATAAGCCTTCAGCCTGATCTAGATGTTGTAAGACCAACTTTCCTGTTTTCTTCAAATCTTACTGATAAGCCTACACATTCGGCAATTTCCCGTTTATCTATTCCTTCTTGATGAAGTGCAATAATTGCTCGCCTCGTAGTCAAACCTGACTCTCGTTGACCAGGAACACGAGGCATGTTGTATTTAAGAAAACGGACAAATTTGAATGCACGTAATTTTGATATTGAATAATTCTATTTAAAATTTGAAGGAGAGTTTCATAAAGCTTTATTTATAAGTTTTATATTATATTAATTATATTACTGAGATTTTTATCTGACGTTTTATTTATAGAAATACTCTAAAATCATTTATTAGAGGAACATATAAAAAATTATGTATTTGTTGTTCTTAAAAATATCAAAAAAGATTTAAAATAATATAAAATTAACACATTTAAAAAAAGGGTGATCCATTCTTCGGCCCACTTCAAACTGGGAAGAGATGTCTCCGTGTTCTTCCAGTACCAGCATCATGTCGGAGCTAACAGCGGACGATTCGCACTAAATCTGAACAGAGCTGTACGTGCCGTATGCCCGTAATGGTATTGACAATAAGTGGTTCTAACAAGATGGTGCTCCTCCACATTTTAGTCGCACGTTTCCAAACCGTTGGTAGAACAGGTGAAATTGAGTGGCCACCACGATCTCCTGATCTAACACCACTGCATTTTTTCTGTTGGGGGTTTCTGAAATGTAGAGTTTATGCAACAAAACCAGGATCAATAAATGATTTGGAAAATCTCATATTTGAAGAAACCACCAATATCACTAGGGATGTGCTCGTGATGGTTTATGAGCGTTTGGGTCATTGCGAGACCGAAGAAGGTCGACAATTTGAACATTTGTTATAAAAATCGTAATAAACGTGCGAATACACATGAAAACACTTTATTTTCCCATTTAGTAGTCAACCCCTCATAATTCATGAAAGAATTAAGATATAGGATTTTGGTTTATGAGGTTGTTTTTTTTTCATTACCTTTAAAATAAGGTAAAACTCGATAGGGGTTGCTATTTAAAAATGTAGATGTGGTCATCCCCTAAAAAAACTGCACATTGCACGGAAATTCTAAACTATCCAAGAATGTACTTTTTATGACTTTAGTGATTCCCAAATTTTCAAATATTTTTTTTCACTCGTTCAAAACTTATAGCTCCATCCCGGGAGTTTTGGGAAACCCTGTATCCGAAATTATATTAGATGTCAGACCGTGTATACGAAATTATATTAAATGTCGTTTTTATGACACTTTAGTGATCCCCAAATTTTCAAATAATTTTCTTCACTCGTTCAAAACTTATAGCTCCGTCCCGGGAGTTATGGGAAATCCTGTATACGAAATTATATTAGATGTCAAATCCTGTATACGAAATTATATTAGATGTCAGATATCCATCATATATACTGAAATTCAAGCATGTAAAACAAGTCATAATTGAAGATGGTTTAACACACCAGTTCATGGGTGGTTTATAAATCACACTGTTGGACGGGCTCGGTCTCTCAGACCCAAAATTTGATGCTTATTCCTCCTACAATAACACAATAAAATATTAAATGTATTGCATTCTACTGATAGTCCGTCTTATTTATTCGTGTTAGTTCTAGTTGTATTTATTAATACTCAGCAAATATTGCAAAATCAGATACATGCTGCTGTCCAGACAATTTGCCAACACTCTGGTTTAGGCCGCGCTAGTGGGAGATTGTGGATTCGAGGAGCCCAATTGATAGAAAATAATTTCGAATACTTGCTGTGATGTTATTTTATTTTCGTGAGAAGTAAATCCCCAAGTTTTTGCGTATAGGTTGAGAATCACCCTGTATACAGTCCATGCACAAAATGTAGATGGTCAAACATCTTCAACAAAATTCTCTGCGCAGTGGATTTGAATGCTCCAAACAGTTGTTTGGAGCATTTTAGTTTTGGAACTCCAAAGTTTTAAAGGCTTTACCACGTTCGACATTGACATTTTTAACTTGAATTTTCAGTCAGTTGTATAACTTTTCCAGTATATCCAGAAATATTTAACAATTTCTGGATATTTTTAGAGGACTTGCAAGGATTGCCATTGTATTTATAAAGATGTGTCAAGGACACCTAGGAATCTAAAAAATTACCAAAATTCAAAGGATGTCTAAAGAAACTTGAATTTTCCACAAAGTAGTATCAGACAAGTGAAACGATTTCATTTATAAATAAATAACATTAAAGATTAAATACTTATATATTATTTTTATGACTCTATTTATAGGCAACCTAATAATGCCAACATTCATTTAATACAACAATTTAAACATCAAATATTGAACCAAATCAAAAAAGAATATTTTTTCTCTAATAGTTATTAGTATATTAATATATTCTCTCATTCAAATCAACAACTAATTAGCACGTAAACTGTTCCAAAAATGTAAATTGTAGGTGGAGGTGGGAATTCTATTTTTACCTCCCTTTAAATTTAGTTAAACCGGCATAAATAACTAAATCTCCAAATCGCAGCAGGTTGCAAAAGTTAAAGCACCGATTTTACGATGGCTACACCGGAACAAGTAAGTATTAATGGGAATTCGTATTTATTTACCATTTATTGTCGCTCAATTAACTATTGCCGCTTGTTTTACCACAGCCGAAAATGAACTTTGAAATATTGCTTTCTCTCTCGCTTTGCTGTGCTAACAGAACACACTTAAGATTATCGTCTGGCCAACTGGAAAATTTATTTTAGGCTGATTTTGAAGAGCGTAGGAATGACGTAGTTGGCCGGTACGCAGTTAGCAATAGAGATTTGAAAGCTGGCGAATTAATATTTAGCGAAAAACCATTTGCTTATGGACCCAAAATCGGTAAAGTAGACTGCATTTTTAGAAACAATTTTGTCCAATTTTCCGTAATTAATTTTTTGTAGATAGTCCACCGGTATGCTTAGGTTGCTATGCTTACATAGACTGCACATATTTATGTTCAAAATGTTCATGGCCAGTTTGTAACGAAACATGTGAAAATATTCCGGCCCATAAAAGCGCAGAATGTGAAATTTTTGCAAACGCTAAGGCGAAATTTATGAATGTTCAAGATCCTTACGCACCATGTCTTCAATACGAGTGCATAACTCCACTTCGAGTTCTTTTAGCTAAAGAAAACCACCCGGATATTTGGGATAAACATGTTAATTGCATGGAAACACATGCAAAGGACCGCAAAGAAAAAGAAATTTGGAATTTTAACACCATAAACATAGTTGGTTATCTTCGAGGACCTTGTAAATGCGATCGATTTAGTGAAGACCTCATTCATCAAGTTTGTGGTCTTTTGGACGTAAATGTTTTCGAAGCAAGAACTATATCTGGAAACGCTATAAGATGTTTATACCCAAAATTATCAACTTTTTCACATAATTGCGTCTCAAACGTAACTCACTCCATAGAAAGTAATGGGGAGGGAAACGAAGAAGATTTTAAAGTAACATTAAAAGCGTCTGTTTCAATCAATAAAGGCGAAGAACTTTTTACAAGTTACACCTACACCATGTGGCCAACAATGGCAAGGAGAGCATTTTTGAAAGAAAGTAAATATTTCGATTGTAACTGCCAAAGATGTAGTGACCCAACCGAATTAGGAACTCACATGAGCACTTTGAAGTGTATGAAGTGCGATAACGGGGTAATTTTATCAACAGCGCCCCTTTTAGATCCTGAATCAGAATGGAAATGTACTCATTGCCAGCATTCTTTAAAGGGAACTACGGTCCAAAAAGTTTTTAAAACAATTCAAGAAGAAATTGATCAAGCTGAAGCCATGGAACAGGATGCTTCAGCGATAGAAGCAAAAGAATCACTTTATCGAAAATACAGATCAATACTTCATCCAAGACATGCCTATTTTACAATTTTACGTATTTCTTTGGCACAAATGTACGGAAAAGTTGAAGGATACACAATGGATATTCTACCAAATATTTTATATGAAAGAAAAATTGAACTTTGTCAAAATATTATGGAGAATATTAACGTTCTTGAACCTGGATACACAAGATTAAGAGGTAATGAGAAAATAATTATAGAATTTCAATTGATCGTGTTATTTTTAGGTACGATTCTTTATGAACTTCATGCCCCTATTATAATGTTAGCAAGGAACCTTTACAACGTTGATGTAATTAACAAAGACGAATTGAGAAGTAAACTTCAAGAAGCCATAAAATTACTGAAAGAATCCTCTGAAATATTAACATTAGAACCTGAAAATAGTCAGGAAGGAATGATCGGGAGGATGGCTAATCAAGCTTATATTCAACTTTCAAGTAATTTGGAGGATTTAATTGATAACATTTAATTTATCTTCTTCTTTCTTTTAAAGCCGTTTATTCGTACATTTTTTAATGTTACACAAAATCTTTTTTTTTAATTAATCAGATACATTGTGAATTGGATGTGGTTTGAACTTCATGTGGTTTAGTTCTAAAATTAAAATAAAAAACAAATTAAATGAATATTTTTGGCCAAAATCTAAAGTGAAAGTAATAAATGAATTGATTTGAAGTTGAAACTGTATGACTGCATACAGTTTAATAATCAAACGTTATTCATAGCGTATATTAATTAAAACCATCATTTAAGGGAATTACAAAATTTTATTAAATATAAAATATTTATTTAACCTTCTATTCAATAATTCTTCATGGGTCATCTATAAGATAAATTAATTATTTAATAACAAATATTTTTCACACACATTTTTTATATTTGATTAAATTATTCAGTGAGGGCAAATAGAAATCATGATTTGCGTATTCATAATTGTATATTAAATTTATCATCATTAAAACGATACAATATTATTTATAAAATAATTTTTTTCTTCAAACAACTTTATCAATCTTAACCCTTCAGTGGTTACGCACGGTCTAATACACCAAAGAAATTTTATATGTTCAACAGATTTTTAATCTTCCAGTACACGGGCTTACAGTCTCATGCGGCTGACTATGTGACCGCAATCGTCGGACAGAAGATGGCGTTACTTAACTCATTTGCATCATAAGCTCAGAAATTTGCAGAACAACTAAAACTAGAGCTAACAGTAGCACTGGAATTAACACTAGACCTCAAGTGTCCTCAGTTTTATTTCTACTTCTAGTATTGTATTAGTTCTAGTTTTATAATTCACTATGAATAACAGGTGTAACTAGAACTAACACTAGACCTTGTTGAGATTATCTTAAAAAAATGTTGGTCCATTAGCACCCTCATTCGTACCACGCGGATGTTTTGTATCCTCCAGTTCAACAGGTTATGGGCCTAGAAGAAAACCATGTTATTAAGTGAAGTAATGAACAAAACGCGTCGACTAGTGCAAGTATGGGCTGCAAATTACATTTCAAGTGTGCTAAAGTTACTAGGCCGCGAGAATTACGACTATTGGGCGTTCACTGCAAATTTTTTTTTAGTTTTGGAAGGTTTAAGTGGGAAAGTACCGCAATGGACATTGCTCAGAGAATCGATAAAGCCAATGGACTTTATAATTGTTGACATGCCGCCATACTCTATAGTGGCAAGTACTGTTTTTAGAAGTTTTGGTTTAGCAGATCCAAACGTCAATACTAAATACAGTTTTAAATCTGAAAAATATTTCTAGTCGTCACTAATGCCCCAAACATATGACAAAGTGAAGGCAAAAGTAATGGACTTAATCGAACAATGCGAGTGGATAAGTTGCACGACCGATGTATGGATAATTCCATGTAAGTATCAAATCATTCTTTAAATGTAAAATGCAGTTTTTAATGTTTTCAAAATTGTATACCTAAAATATACAAGCTTCAATCCATGTTCCCCATCGCGTGATAGATAACTGGTGAAGGAGGAAGAGGTAGTAAAGAGGTAGTTTTTACATAATTCTCTATATACAGGTGTTCAGAAATTGGCGGATAATCTACACGTAGCGACATTCTACGCCGACTCTGAATCAAAAATCTTAATGTTAAAATGTTGTTCTACTATGTTGCCAAATGCGTTTTTGATAATGAAAAAATGTTAAAAACGAACTTTAAAGTAAAGAAAATAACTAACTAGTTTTCATAATTCTTTTTATTCTAAATTACAGCTTATTTCAATATCTGTTGATATTGAATATTAATGATTATTAATTATGGACAAATTATCCGAGCTTTGAAAACCTCATGAAGACGTATGAAGCATGGTACAACATTTTACAATTAAGATTTTCGCTTTAAAATCGAACGAAGAATGTCGCTACGTGTAGATTATCCGCCTATTTCTGAACACCCTGTATTGACACTCGGAGCTTTTAAAAATATCTTTTTAAAAAATTTAGTAAAAATAAGAAGGCGAAAAATTTTTGGAAAGATACAATAAAAGAATGAATTTGGCAGGTCTTACAGATTCAGTCCGTCAACTGGAGGATAATTGATATAAATGATAATTGATCGTTACCCAGATGCTGTCTGCTGTGTCATTATTTCTGAAATAACCAGTAGCATGCATGTCCAGATTGCACAACAAATTGGTCGACTATCTGTAGTAGTTATAACAGAAGGAAGAGCTATTTTAAAAATCTCATTGCTCATATCTGTCACTATCTCTCTCTGCGTAGTATTACAACCCGGGGTGGGTCTTCGCTGACTGTGCAGTTTGCCTCAGTTTGCTGCGGTCCAATATTAGTTCTTCTGGTAGTTCGATATTTAGGGTCCGTAGATCAACTACAGTATTATCTCTCCACTTCATCCTCGGTCTTCCTAGCAGCCGCTTGCCATCTCGGGACACTCTCCATACAAACTTAACGACTTGTCTTGTCTCTTAAGATGGCCGGCCTTCCTTTTTTATTACTTTTACTATATCTGCTGGTTATACATATAGTTCTTCTAGTTCTCTATTAGTCCACATTCTATACTGCTGTGTGATATAGTCTTTGACTGGTCCGTGTAGCCCTCTAAGAATTCTTCTTTCCGCGTTTTTAGTTACTAATCTTACTCAATATTTCTTACCTGGCGATCATTAACCCTGAACATAACTAACCTTCCCCAACCTACCTGGGATTACGCCACATTACTAACTTTATCCAACATTCTTCCCTGAAGGTCATTAACCTTAGTAAACATAACCGATCCATACCAATACCATATACCTTACTGTTATTACAGGAGTTTAAATTTAACATCAAACATATTCTAGAACAAGATAATGAATTTCCGGACTACTTGTCACAAACCAATATCCGCGAAAAATTACTGAATGGACTCACTAGATAACGAGAGGATATTAATAATTGGATCCTTTAGTTCGTCCTATTGAATTCCTAGACTTCGTTGAATATATGAAAACCTAATCAGGATTGGGAACGTACANCAATACTAAATACAGTTTTAAATCTGAAAAATATTTCTAGTCGTCACTAATGCCCCAAACATATGACAAAGTGAAGGCAAAAGTAATGGACTTAATCGAACAATGCGAGTGGATAAGTTGCACGACCGATGTATGGATAATTCCATGTAAGTATCAAATCATTCTTTAAATGTAAAATGCAGTTTTTAATGTTTTCAAAATTGTATACCTAAAATATACAAGCTTCAATCCATGTTCCCCATCGCGTGATAGATAACTGGTGAAGGAGGAAGAGGTAGTAAAGAGGTAGTTTTTACATAATTCTCTATATACAGGTGTTCAGAAATTGGCGGATAATCTACACGTAGCGACATTCTACGCCGACTCTGAATCAAAAATCTTAATGTTAAAATGTTGTTCTACTATGTTGCCAAATGCGTTTTTGATAATGAAAAAATGTTAAAAACGAACTTTAAAGTAAAGAAAATAACTAACTAGTTTTCATAATTCTTTTTATTCTAAATTACAGCTTATTTCAATATCTGTTGATATTGAATATTAATGATTATTAATGGACAAATTATCCGAGCTTTGAGAACCTCCTGAAGACGTATGAAGCATGGTACAACATTTTACAATTAAGATTTTCGCTTTAAAATCAAACGAAGAGTTTAGCTACGTCTAGATTATCCGCCTATTTCTGAACACCCTGTATTGACACTCGGAGCTTTTAAAAATATCTTTTTAAAAAATTTAGTAAAAATAAGAAGGCGAAAAATTTTTGGAAAGATACAATAAAAGAATGAATTTGGCAGGTCTTACAGATTCAGTCCGTCAACTGGAGGATAATTGATATAAATGATAATTGATCGTTACCCAGATGCTGTCTGCTGTGTTATTTCTGAAATAACCAGTAGCATGCATGTCCAGATTGCACAACAAATTGGTCGACGCTCCGAGTGTCAATACAGGGTATTGACACTCGGAGCTTTTAAAAATATCTTTTTACACAAACTCATAAATTTGTCGACATCTGAAAAATGGTCTCTGACAAACTCATACAATCGATGGAGACCGTGAATAATACAAGTTACTTGAAACAAATGTTGATGCATTGTCTTTAATTTACCTGCTTTCAACATATACGCTGCTGCATCAGAAATAAATAAAAGGATTTTACCGAGATTTTTTTTACAATAAGCCTTATGTTATCGAAAACAACTTTTACTATTGTAAAAGTTGAACAAGTTGAGGGCAAGAAAGGAGGGACCAGATAGAGAAACAGAAAGAAATACATATGTTTCATCCATAGGTAACAAACACTAGTTTTATAGCATTTAGCAAGAGGGAAGAAGAAATGTTAAAAAAGGGACTGAAATATGCCCCAAAAAATGAAGTTCACCTACCAATGTTGTCAATGGAAATTCAAGCAGCAACTAAAGGACAAAGAGAAAATTTAATTAACAAGGAAATTCAACAAATTCTCATAAAACAAGAAAAGAACCAAGAACATATACGAAGAAAAGAAGATAAGATGAAGATTTCCTAAATGAAAATAATTTCAAAAACATAAATAAGAACACAACAATTAATTTTCATAAGAAGACAAAACAAATAGTTAAAGAAAACACAGAAATTATAAAAGCACTTTTAGGTAATGTTACTGAACACGTATGAACCCACAGATACTAAAACTATATGCCCTGCCAAAGATTCATAATAGTAATATACCGGTTAGGCCAATAATCAGTTCCACTGAATCCAGCGCATATAGGTACTTTTATTTATTATAAATGCGTTGATTGCTGCCTTGCGTTTTTTGCAACGTTGTAAGATGTAATGTATCAAAAAATTCTATTATTTACATCATCACCACGCTTTGTATTATTATATAATATAATTTCTGGTTTTTTATTTTCATCGAAATTTGCCTTCCTATTCAAAAGCAACCGAAGAAATAAGTGCTTCAGAGTGAGAGACTTTCCCTGAATACAAGAAACTCGGTATAGTTACAAGACAAGGGATGCCCCAGAAACACTTTATACATAATTACATAAAATGAATTACCTATAACGTTTTTATCATTTAAGATAAAAAAGTTAGATAGAAAAAAAGAACATACAAATGGGTCTAATAAATAAAAAGTAAATAATAAGTTGGGTCTAATAGGCCCAAAGCCCTTCTCATAACTAATCGGCAAAACATAAAATTGAAAAAAAATGTACAAGCTTCAATCCATGTTCCCCATCGCGTGATAACTGGTGAAGGAGGAAGAGGTAGTAAAGAGGTAGTTTTTACATAATTCTCTATATACAGGTGTTCAGAAATTGGCGGATAATCTACACTTGCCAAATGCGCTTTTGATAATGAAGAAATNGTGGTTACGCACGGTCTAATACACCAAAGAAATTTTATATGTTCAACAGATTTTTAATCTTCCAGTGCACGGGCTTACAGTCTCACGCGGCGGACTGTATGACCGCAATCGTCGGACAAAAGATGGCGTTACTTAACTCATTTGCATCATAAGCTCACAAATTTGCAGAACAACTAAAACTAGAGCTAACAGTAGCACTGGAATTAACACTAGACCTCAAGTGTCCTCAGTTTTATTTCTACTTCTAGTATTGTATTAGTTCTAGTTTTATAATTCACTATGAATAACAGGTGTAACTAGAACTAACACTAGACCTTGTTGAGATTATCTTAAAAAAATGTTGGTCCATTAGCACCCTCATTCGTACCACGCGGATGTTTTGTATCCTCCAGTTCAACAGGTTATGGGCCTAGAAGAAAACCATGTTATTAAGTGAAGTAATGAACAAAACGCGTCGACTAGTGCAAGTATGGGCTGCAAATTACATTTCAAGTGTGCTAAAGTTACTAGGCCGCGAGAATTACGACTATTGGGCGTTCACTGCAAATTTTTTTTTAGTTTTGGAAGGTTTAAGTGGGAAAGTACCGCAATGGACATTGCTCAGAGAATCGATAAAGCCAATGGACTTTATAATTGTTGACATGCCGCCATACTCTATAGTGGCAAGTACTGTTTTTAGAAGTTTTGGTTTAGCAGATCCAAACGTCAATACTAAATACAGTTTTAAATCTGAAAAATATTTCTAGTCGTCACTAATGCCCCAAACATATGACAAAGTGAAGGCAAAAGTAATGGACTTAATCGAACAATGCGAGTGGATAAGTTGCACGACCGATGTATGGATAATTCCATGTAAGTATCAAATCATTCTTTAAATGTAAAATGCAGTTTTTAATGTTTTCAAAATTGTATACCTAAAATATACAAGCTTCAATCCATGTTCCCCATCGCGTGATAGATAACTGGTGAAGGAGGAAGAGGTAGTAAAGAGGTAGTTTTTACATAATTCTCTATATACAGGTGTTCAGAAATTGGCGGATAATCTACACGTAGCGACATTCTACGCCGACTCTGAATCGAAAATCTTAATGTTAAAATGTTGTTCTACTATCTTGCCAAATGCGTTTTTGATAATGAAAAAATGTTAAAAACGAACTTTAAAGTAAAGAAAATAACTAACTAGTTTTCATAATTATTTTTATTCTAAATTACAGCTTATTTCAATATCTGTTGATATTGAATATTAATGATTATTATTAAAGACGTATGAAGCATGGTACAACATTTTACAATTAAGATTTTCGCTTTAAAATCGAACGAAGAATGTCGCTACGTGTAGATTATCCGCCTATTTCTGAACACCCTGTATTGACACTCGGAGCTTTTAAAAATATCTTTTTAAAAAATTTAGTAAAAATAAGAAGGCGAAAAATTTTTGGAAAGATACAATAAAAGAATGAATTTGGCAGGTCTTACAGATTCAGTCCGTCAACTGGAGGATAATTGATATAAATGATAATTGATCGTTACCCAGATGCTGTCTGCTGTGTCATTATTTCTGAAATAACCAGTAGCATGCATGTCCAGATTGCACAACAAATTGGTCGACTATCTGTAGTAGTTATAACAGAAGGAAGAGCTATTTTAAAAATCTCATTGCTCATATCTGTCACTATCTCTCTCTGCGTAGTATTACAACCCGGGGTGGGTCTTCGCTGACTGTGCAGTTTGCCTCAGTTTGCTGCGGTCCAATATTAGTTCTTCTGGTAGTTCGATATTTAGGGTCCGTAGATCAACTACAGTATTATCTCTCCACTTCATCCTCGGTCTTCCTAGCAGCCGCTTGCCATCTCGGGACACTCTCCATACAAACTTAACGACTTGTCTTGTCTCTTCAGATGACCGGCCAATCTATCTTCCTTTTTTATTACTTTTACTATATCTGCTGGTTATACATATAGTTCTTCTAGTTCTCTATTAGTCCACATTCTATACTGCTGTGTGATATAGTCTTTGACTGGTCCGTGTAGCCCTCTAAGAATTCTTCTTTCCGCGTTTTTAGTTACTAATCTTACTCAATATTTCTTACCTGGCGATCATTAACCCTGAACATAACTAACCTTCCCCAACCTACCTGGGATTACGCCACATTACTAACTTTATCCAACATTCTTCCCTGAAGGTCATTAACCTTAGTAAACATAACCGATCCATACCAATACCATATACCTTACTGTTATTACAGGAGTTTAAATTTAACATCAAACATATTCTAGAACAAGATAATGAATTTCCGGACTACTTGTCACAAACCAATATCCGCGAAAAATTACTGAATGGACTCACTAGATAACGAGAGGATATTAATAATTGGATCCTTTAGTTCGTCCTATTGAATTCCTAGACTTCGTTGAATATATGAAAACCTAATCAGGATTGGGAACGTACACCAAGAAAATGGAGCAATATGTCCAACGGAAGAGGATTGGTAGCACCAACCGCTTCTGGTGAGACAATACTACATGTCTACTAACTTACATCGACACATCCATCAGTAATATTTTTGGGATCGAAAATATTGGACCTATGTTACTTTCAAGACAGGGCCTGTTATGTGCTGCACGATCCTGCTGCTTCTTAGTACTATCTGCCAGTCGATTTGATGGAAACATATATCTAATTCAGCAACAATCGATATGCCCTCGTCATCACCGTCTTCGCTAAGCCTTGCAACAACGGAAGAAACCTTTTCAAAGTATGGATTTCTATTTATTCTATAACGCCATTCGTAAGTGGGATCTCAAGCAAATCTCATCGAAATAAGAATAGAAGAAAAAAACAATATATACGACTGCACCTCCTATTACAGTATGCATTGCAACGCAATGGGGAGGAAATCTGCATCGAGAACATTCCTAACAACCAGAAAACATAGGAGAGCGAAATAGACAAGCCTAAATGAGTATCGTCATTGTCAATAATCTGCAGGAGACGCGAATTTTACACCTGGAAAAGAGATTAATCACATGGGTGGCTGGCTTTGTTTGGTTATCGATGGATCGAACCATATACCATAATCGAAGATGCCGGGCCAACCACAAACTAGAGACAAACGTAAAATTCTACCAACCAAGATGCATGTCACTAACCTTAAACCTGTACAGTCATGTTCACGGGAAATGCACACTCAAGGTCAAGCGCTGTTGTGAGATCCGACATGCCGCTGGCTAAACGAGCTTCGTGTGACTGTACCTTGCAGACGACAATGTATGATCGAATAAGCGCTTTGAGGAGCCTTCTCATTTTCTTCATAATTCTTCTCATAACTTGTATGCCATCTAGTGTGATCTTTAAGAATTTGCTACTTTTATATGATATAAAAATTGTAACTGCAACTATTTAATTTTATTCAGAAAGAAGTTTCAATTTCAACAATTTTTAGACGTTTCTAACGAATCTCTAGAATATCCAGAGACGTTAACAGGTGTCAAATACCTAGAAAGCTTCCATAAGTTTTAGGCAATGTCAAATGTGGTAAATTTGACATTGACATTTTTAAGTTAAATTTTCAGTCAGTTCCAAAAGTTTTCCAATATATCCAAGAATTTTTCACAATTTCTAAATATTTTTAGAGGACTTGCCATTGTAGTCATAAAGATGTGTCAAGGACACCTAGGAATCTAAAAAATTACTACAATTCAAAGGATATCTAAAGAAATTTGATAATATATTATCAATGATTGACGATATTATACGATATAGGCAATTCAATTTACTCAGCTATCATTGACACCATTCCTCGGGAAACCTATCAAAGACAATAACTATCAAATTTTCCATAAAGTTATATCAGAGAAGTGAAACGATTTAACTTATAAAGAAATAATATTAAAGATTAAATACTTATATTATTTTTATGAGAACTATATTTATAGGCAACCCAATAATGTCAATTTTCATTTAATACAACAATTTAAACATCAAATATTGAATCAAATCAAAAAACAAAATTTTTTCTCTAATAGTTACTAGTATATTAATATATTCTCTCATTCAATCCAACAACTAATTAGTACGTGAACTGATCCAAAATAGTAAATTGAGGTGGAGGTGGAAATTCTATTTTTGCCTCCCTTTAAATTTAGGCATAAATAGATAAATCTCCAAATCGCGGCAGGTTGCAAAAGTTAGAGCACCGATTTTACGATGGCTACACCGGAACAAGTAAGTATTAATTGGAACTCGTATTTATTTATTTACCATTTATTGTCGCTCAATTAACTATTGCCGCTTGTTTTACCACAGCCGAGAATGAGCTTTGAAATATTGCTTCCTCTCTCGATTTGCTGTGCTAACCCAAGGTCCATTGCGTATTAATTACACAGTATGTTCACGCAACGGACCTTGGTGCTAACCTACAGAATACACTTAAAATTATCGTCTGGCCAACTGGAAAATTTATTTTAGGCTGATTTTGAAGAGCGTAGGAATGACATAGTTGGCCGGTACGCAGTTAGCAATAGAGATTTAAAAGCTGGCGAATTAATTTTTAGCGAAAAGCCATTTGCTTATGGACCCAAAAACGGTAAAGTAGAAACTGCGTTTTTAGAAACATTTTGTCCATTTCTCCTTAATTAATTTTCATTTTTTGTAGATAGTCCACCGGTATGTTTAGGTTGCTATGCTTACATAGACTGCACATATTTATGTTCAAAATGTTCATGGCCAGTTTGTAACGAAACATGTGAAAATATTCCGGCCCATAAAAACGCAGAATGCGAAGTTTTTGCAAACGCTAAGGCGAAATTTATGAATGTTCAAGATCCTTACGCACCATGTCTTCAATACGAATGCATAACTCCACTTCGAGTACTTTTAGCTAAAGAAAAACACCCGGATATTTGGGATAAACATGTTAATTGCATGGAAGCACACTTAAACGACCGCAAAGAAAAAGAAATTTGGAAATTTAACACCATAAATATAGTTGGTTATCTTCGAGGAACTTGTAAATGCAATCGATTTAGTGAAGATCTTATTCATCAAGTTTGTGGTCTTTTGGACGTAAATGCTTTCGAAGCAAGAACTATATCTGGAAACGCTATAAGATGTTTATATCCAAAATTATCAACTTTTTCACATAATTGCGTCTCAAACGTAACTCACTCCATAGAAAGTAATGGGGAGGGAAACGAAGAAGATTTTAAAGTAACATTAAAAGCGTCTGTTTCAATCAATAAAGGCGAAGAACTTTGTACAAGTTACACATACACCATGTGGCCAACAATGGCAAGGAGAGCATTTTTGAAAGAAAGTAAATATTTCGATTGTAACTGCCAAAGATGTAGTGACCCAACCGAATTAGGAACTCACATGAGCACTTTGAAGTGTATGAAGTGCGACAACGGGGTAATTTTATCAACAGCGCCCCTTTTAGATCCTGAATCAGAATGGAAATGTACCCATTGCCAGCATTCTTTAAAGGGAACTACGGTCCAAAAAGTTTTTAAAACAATCCAAGAAGAAATTGATCAAGCTGAAGCCATGGAACAAGATGCTTCAGCGATAGAAACAAAAGAATCACTTTATCGAAAATACAGATCAATACTTCACCCAAGACATGCCTATTTTACAATTTTACGTATTTCTTTGGCACAAATGTACGGAAAAGTTGAAGGATACACAATGGATATTCTACCAAATATTTTATATGAAAGAAAAATTGAACTTTGTCAAAACATTATGGAGAATATTAACGTTCTTGAACCTGGATACACAAGATTAAGAGGTAATCAGAAAATAATGATAGAATTAAAATTGATCCTGTTATTTTTAGGTACGATTCTTTATGAACTTCATGCCCCGATTATAATGTTAGCAAGGAACCTTTACAACGTTGATGTAATTAACAAAGACGAATTGAGAAGTAAACTTCAAGAAGCCATAAAATTACTGAAAGAATCCTCTGAAATATTAACATTAGAACCTGAAAATAGTCAGGAAGGAATGATTGGGAAGATGGCTAATCAAGCTTATATTCAACTTTCAACAAATTTGGAGGATTTAATTGATAACATCTAATTTATTTTCTTCTTTCTTTTAAAATCGTTTATTCGTACATTTTTGATGTTACACATTTTTTTTTTTAATTAATCAGATACAGTTTGAATTGGATGTGGATTGAACTTCATGTGGTTTAGTTCTAAAATTAAAATAAAAAACAAAATAAATGTATATTTTTGGTCAAAATCAGAACTAAAAGTAATAAATGTATTGATTTGTTTCAGTCATAGTTTGATAATCAAAAGTTATTCATAGCGTATATTAATTAAAACCATCATTTAAGGGAATTACAAAATTTTATTGAATTTAAGATATTTATTTACAGGTGTAACTCACCTCATACACTTTGAATTAATCTTCTATTCAATAATTCTTCATGGGTTATCTATAAAATGAATTAATTATTTAATAACAAATATTTTTCACACACATTTTTTAGATTTGATTAAATTATTCAGTGAGGGCAAGTAGAAATCATGATTTGCGTATTCATAATTGTATATTAAATTTATCATCATTAAAACGATACAATTTCATTTATGAAATAATTTTTTTCTTCAAACAATTTGATCAACCTTAACCCTTCAGTGGTGATGCACACCATCAATTAAATTTTAAAGGCTCAACAGATTTTTAATCTTCCAGTACCGTAATCGTCGGGCAAAAGATGGCGTTACTTAACCCATTTCCATCATAAGCTCAGATATTTGCAGAACAACAAAAACTAGAGCTAACAGTAGCACTGGAACTAACACTAGACCTAAAAGCACGTTATTAAGTAAAGTAATGGACAAAAACGCGTCGAGTAGTGCAAGTATGGCTGGAAATTACATTTCGAGCGTGCCAAAGTTACTAGACAGCGAGAATTACCACTATTGGGCGTTTGCTGTAGAAAATTTTGTTAACTTTGGATGTTTTATGTGCGAAAGAACCGCAATGGACATGCAATTGCGCAGAGAATCGATAATACTATTATAAAAGTTGAACAAGTTGAGATAAGAAGGGCAAAAAAGAATGGACCAGATAAAGAAACAGAAAGAAATACATAAGTTTCATCCATAGGTAACAAATACTACTTTTTTTTATTTAGCAAGAAAGAAGAAGAAATGCTAAAAAAGGGAAAATCCAAGCAGCAACTAAAGGACAACGACAAAATTTAATTAACAAGGAAATTCAACAAATTCTCATAAAAGAAGAAAAGAACCAAGAACATATATGAAGATTTCCTGAATGAAAATAATTTCAAAAACATAAATAAGGACACAACAATTAATTTTCATAAGAAGACAAAACAAATAGTTAAAGAAAACAGAAATAATAAAAGAACTCTTAGGTAATGTAATTTAACACTTATGAACCCACAGATACTAAAACTGTATGCCTTGCCAAAGATTCATAATAGTAATATACCGGTTAGGCCAATAAGCAGTTTCACTGAGTCCAGCACATATAAATTATCAAAAACATTACAAAAGTTTATTAAATTTAATATTAATTTCAAACCTAACTATATAATTAATAACAGTAACCAGTTACTAAATATAATCAATGAAATGGAATTACCAAACAATTTCAATTGGATATTAGTAACTTATTCACCAACATTCATTTTTTGATAGATTTAATTAAGGAAAGTTGGGACATCTGAGTAGGATGCATAACCCCTGCTAATACATTAACGACGTATTTACCAAGAATATCAGTAGTTTCATCAGTACTTATCCAAATGTAGTTTTGATAAGGTATTTATTATAGGTTCCACCACTTTAGTATATAACTTTGTATATACTTTTTGGTGTGTATTTTTCTAAGAAAAATTTCAAAATTGGATTTTGAACCCAATTTTCAATCGACCAATAGTTTAGTTGATGGACATAAATATCTTAAGTTTAATGTAGGTCGACTATGTGTGCCTAGCTTAAATGTATTAAGAAATTGTTTGGTCTATAAAATTGCCATTATCATTTGTTAAAAATGAAGATGTCACCACTGAAGGGTTAACAAAATAACATTCAAAAAAAAAAGTTTTATTCCTAATAGATGCTATTTTCAGTGGCTTGAAAATCATTGATATGCTCAACATAGAATTTAGTTTCTACTCCATATGAACCAATATTTAACTTACTAATCTTTATAGATGGTCCCCCAAGAACTATTCCTGTAACAAAATAATAAACTCTTAGAATCATGTTTCTGATTAGAACCAAATTTTATTAAAAAAAAATTAAGAATTGAATCAGTAATGAAATTTTCCCCACAAATTCTATGTAAGACAGGGATAACTAAATGTTCATCATTTTAGATGTTAATAATTTTTTTTTATGAATTAAAGCTTACCTTTTATGTTATAATATTGATGGTGAGGCACCTTTTACTGCATAAAGCCTGTAATAAAAAAGAATATATTAAAATACAATCATTTAAGAATATCAAAAAGATTTCTTATATTTTTATTGATTCAGAACTATAAAAATAGCAGCCTTATAATTTAATCAAAGATTGTTCAAACGGTAACAGTTAACATCATAATAAAATAATTTTAATTACAAATACATCATATTACATCAATTTTACCTACATAATCTCAGTTCCCAGATTTAATTCAATTTTCATTCTCTTAAATCAGTCCACAAAGGCCCTCCTCTTCTTCCAAAACCAAAATCCAAGGATTCTTGCAGAAAGATTTCTATATAACATAGAAAATGTATTACAATTCAAGTAACAATAATCACAAAAATATTATTAAACAATCTTTTTTCTTAAATCAGAATAAAGTATCAACAATAATAATTCTGTCATATGCTTGTCAAAAATTAAATCATCATTCAATAAGAAAAATTAAACCAATCAATAAATATAGTATGTAAAAATTCTTACCAAGTGTTATAATAACACCCCAAAAAGCGTCGCTTTAGGAAATAACCTGTAAATAAAAGTCTGATATGAAACACGTGGTTCTAAAACTTTGAGGTTATAATAATAATTTTAACGTAACAAATCAGTTAGTGAATAGTTCTAATCAACAAATTCATACGAACGAGACAAATCTCATCATTTACCACAAAATGATTACAAAATGATCAAAATAAACTTACCTTTCAACAACAACCAACAACGAACCTTACGAGAAGACATCTTTGTCAAAAAAGACGGCTTTTAGAGAGATGGCCGGTATTTATACCCGACGCTTACTATATCACCCATCCAAATTAACTTGACGAAATACATCTCAACAAATCGGTACAATCCAAATCATTTAAAAATATTTGTTATTATTTCATCAATAATTAACATAAACATTAACAACAAATTACCAAAACCCCACGAATATTTAAAATTATTCTAAAATTCAAAGATATGTAGAATCGCATAAAATTGGTTGCTCTATACAAGAGATTTAACGGAAGTTAATTTTTCCAATACTACCAACATATAAATAACGTGTTCATAGCAAACATTAAAATAAATAAAGTAACTAATTATTACATTTAACTTAACCTCAACTCAAAATAATTGTTACATTTAATTCATTTTATATCAAATATAATAATGGAAGGATCTGGTGTTTGTAGTGAAATAATCGATGATATTGAAGATTTGATTTCATCTCAAGACATAACACCAAAGCAGCGTTACAGTACAAGAAAATCCATTAAAATTAGAGCTAAAAAGAAAACGGTTGAAGATGTTGAGCCCCAAGCAATTGGAGATAACATCCCAGGAACTCAAACGATTTATGTTAAAACATGGGGTTGCGCCCATAATAACTCAGATTCAGAATACATGGCTGGTCAATTAGCTGCATATGGTTATAAACTTACTGATGATAAAGAACAAGCCGATTTATGGTTATTAAATAGTTGCACTGTAAAAAACCCCGCTGAGGATCATTTTCGGAACGCTATAGAATCAGGCAAAAAGCTAGGTAAACATGTTGTTTTAGCTGGATGTGTTCCACAAGGCGCTCCAAAGTCCGGTTATTTACAAGGATTAAGTGTTGTTGGAGTACAACAAATTGATCGTGTGGTTGAAGTAGTTGAAGAAACTCTTAAAGGACATATTGTAAAACTGTATGGGACTAAAAAACAAAATGGCAAAAAAATTGGAGGCGCTTCGCTGTTATTACCTAAAGTACGAAAGAATCCTCTTATTGAAATTATTGCCATCAACACTGGCTGCTTGAATCAGTGTACTTATTGTAAAACTAAACATGCTAGGGGTGAATTGGGGAGTTATCCACCTGAAGAAATTGTTGAGAGGGCCCAACAAGCTTTTCAAGAGGGTGTTGTTGAAATTTGGTTAACATCAGAAGATACAGGTATAAAATTTTAAATATAAAACTATAAAATAAAATAAATTTATATATGAATTTATTTACCCATTTCGAGGTAATGTTTACTATTTTTCTAATTTTTGTTTCTACAAGTTAAGAACCACCTTGGAGACCCAAAAATAAAGATAACTTTAAGATTTTTTTGCAATGCAGGGAAAACAGTTTTCTAAAATCGGGTTGTAGGGTTTTAATAAGCAGCTTTTCTCGTTTTATAAACGTCTTTATTTATTAACAGCTTTAAAATTACATGTTAGGCTTGCAAATCATGCAGGGTCAATTGGTGTGCAGGATTTCTCCTAAACCAGAAGTCCAATAATCAAATTTTGACTATGATTACTTTTCTAAACACATAAACTACGGACCTGTCTAAGATTTTTTAAAAATGTTTATTTTTGACGAAATGGTGCCGATTTTACAAGAAATGTCTTATATATTGATAAAAAACATACATAAAAATGGTTGTAAAGTAGACAACTTTACATATATCGAAAAATGGTTACGTACTTTCCTAGAGTAAAATGATAAAATGAAATTTTGAAAATCCGCTGAAAAATGTTGGAATTATGCGCACAGATTAGAAAAATATAGTTTTCAGAAAAAGAGGATTAAAGTTGATAGGAACATCAGGAATCGCTACCAAGAGCGTTACAAAAATGAAGTTTTAGACAGAAAAACGATTTACAAATTTTTTTCTGTCAATGGATTCCCATTCTACCCATTCCTTTACAGCAGGATTTTACAGCAACGGGGCGAAACGCGGTTCCATTTTTCCTAACTTTGAAGACGTCGGCCGCCATAAGTATACTTCGTGATACTTGAGGCGGCTGACGACTTCGAAGTCGGCCGAGATTACTTCTTATATCAAAAGGAAAAATTAATGAAAATATTATTTATAATCTGGGAAGGCTTCATGAAAAAATGGTTGGGAAACCTTACTTTACAGTCTAATCTTCTTAGACATGACAGTGCCTGTAGTAATTTTCAGAAGCTTTATTGTATTACTCCTTCTATTAGTTCCAATGTGGCTGAAAGACAAAAGTTGAATTTTGATTTTCTGTTATTAATTTTGGTTTTTAAGCTTGGGATTTCAGAAATATTACTATCTAACAAGTTTGAATATTACTATCTCGTTGCTTTAAGTAGATTCTATGCTAGGCAAAAGTTGACTCAAGATATTTATATTTTCACTTATCAGCATATTATTTACCATTACAAGATTTTAATCCAAAAAACTGCTTAAAATATCATTAACACAGAGGAATGTTAATTAGAATATTGTATTATAGGGTTAAAAGTTAGGGAAAAAATTACGTTTTCGCTTATTTTTTGAAAACCAAAAGTGTTTTAGTTAGAACACTTGCTAAATTCCAGCAACATTATATCCAGTTGTCAGTATGGTTTTCGTCAAGGAAGGCGGGTTGATGACGCTTTTGCTGTATTGACCAAGAAAGTCAGTGATGCATTGGATGCTTCTACTTCCATTATAAGAATATTTTTGGATTTGGCATTTGATACTGTTGCCCATAATATACTGATTGCCAAATTGGATTTGTATGGTGTTAGAGGTTGTTGATCTTGTCCTTAGATTTTCATTTTTAGTGTGCATGGACAAATTAGTTCGCCTTTAATGTAGTATAGTGTTTGCTGGAAGATCAACAAGTGTTTTACCGGTAAACTAGTTTGTATGAAAATTAGTTGAAATTTGTCTTTTTGGGACACTTTACATCTGTCTTAAAAAATTAGAAATCTTTTTGTTTTTTTATCTCTTTTGTACATTTATTTTGTGCTGTATTTTTGAACTAAATAAATTGCAACAAATTAAAATGGAGACTTAAACAAACCCATATGTAGACCGGTTTTAGACTATGGACACTTACTTAGAATTAACTCGATGAATCAGACTAAGGATGTCCTTGATGAAGCAGAAAGGAGATGCATAAGAATAATAACCAAAATCCGGCATCTTAAAAATTCTCTGTACAATATAAAAAATGAAGACCAATACGCTCGAACAGTAATAAAGCCAATACGGCACAAAGAACTAAAGAAGAAATTTATCAATAAAAAGTACAACAGGCAGACATTGAACAAAATGTGTTCAAAAAGAGCAGATAAAATAACGACAATAAACACTGGACAATATACGAAGCGATTGTGATGCAAACGGATGAAGATGTGTAAAATTATATGTTGTATTACCCAAGTATTACCATATTTTTATTTGTTATCAAATACTTATAAGAGCTAGAAATTAGAGAAGATTTTTATTTATGTCTCGAAAATGAAAACTGCCATAGTAATATGTTAAATGTTAATTAGTATTGTTTTTTAAAAATCTTTCTATCGATGTTTAATGAGGTAAACTACACTCATTTTCTTTAAATAGTAAATATAAAACTTCTAGATAAATAAGATATTTTATTACTAATACAGCATATTTTTATGGAAAGTATGGAAGATTATAATAAGCAAATTGAAGACGAAACTGTGTTAGTTTCGATTCATCAAATGTCATAAATGACGGTCAGCAAATTATTGAAGAAGATACTGCGGATACAAGTGATAGTTTTGTGGAAGATACTGAGCTTACTGTCTATTGAAGGATGACATCGCCTACAACTAGAAATTAGAGGTGGTAAATTACAGGACAAGTAGGAAGAAAGGTTATTTAAAACTAGAATCCATAAAAAACAAATATCGAAAAGTAATGTCAACACCACAATTGTCGATATGGGCTAAATATACAGGGTAATTCAAATTCGACCCCCACCATTGGGATCTCAGAAACCATAAGAGATACAGATATGGTTAAATGGGGGCAAAGTTGCGTATCTTAGAGCTCATCATTTTTCAACTAAGTTTTTGGATCTAGCCGTTTTAGTTTATAAAATATGGCCGAAAAACAAAAAAGATGACTTTCGTTTTTTGCCTATAACTTCTTTATTTTTCGTTTTTCGTGAATCTTAAAAAACATACCTAGCCGTTGTAGTTTTTAATATATGGCCGAAAAACAAAAAAATACTTTTTCGTTTCTTGCCTAAAACTTCTTTATTTTTTCGTGAATTTTCGCAAGAAACGAAAAAGTATTTTTTTTGTTTTTCGGCCATATGTTAAAAACTACAACGGCTAGATCCAAAAACTTAGTTGAAAAATGATGAGCGCTAAGATACGCAACTTTGCCCCGATTTCACCATTTCCGTATCTCGTAAGTAAGCGCCTTATTTTTTTTTAGCCGCACTATGGGTACTACTTTCAAAATATTTGGCAGTAATATGTTTTAGGACATTCTCTACACGATGGTGATACCACATTTTCAAATGGACGAATTATTTATAAATGGCGACTGTTAACTTTTTTTTTTAAATGCAATGCCAAAATTTTTTTTTTATTATTGAGTTCCTAAAAACATTCTTTATACGATAGTATTTTGTTTTTCTTAAAAATTCATTTCTTTCCCCATCAAAGAGCACACATTTTAATCTAGTAGCGCATGAATGTTTCACACTCAATGTTATTTTTGTTCAAATATCAAGTAGCGCTAGACACAAAAGAAACAAACTATATTTTGTAATAAACATCCACTTATTTATTTATTTAGAATAAGAACATTTTCGAGAAAAATTACTTTAAAGATTAATTACTTAAAATTTGTATAATGGTAAAAATAGCAGTAGCCATGAGTAACTATGGTAACCAATTATTCTAAACAATTCCCTGAGTGTCAAAAACTGATTTAGTAAAGCTTCTTGAAGTGTGGTGGCACGTTCTGATTTGTTTCAGAACTTGGAAATGTTGATCAAGTAAAAACATTAGTAAAAGGTTTCGTTAAAGATACTAGGCAACAAATCCAAATATGTGGACCTGAAAATACTTATAATTCGCATCAGAGTGGTTTTATCTTGGAGTTCCATTCTGGAAGAATAAAAAGCGTTAAAACTGTAGAATGTGTGGTTCCTTGATGTCATCCACAACGGAAAGTTGTACAACTCGATGCATAATATCTGCTGGTGGGAAATTTCTTTCTCCATTTTTAATTGTTTTAAAAGAAACCTCTAATATCTGTGGTAGCAAATAGAATGTTCAAAGCCAACAATATGCACATTTTGACATTAAAATTTACGAGATTTTGATTACCTTCAATACTTATGAAAAATTGCCTTCAAAATGTATATTTTCCAAATACTGGTTTCAAATCATTATCATTGTTGGATTTTTGGAGTGGAAGGAAGTTTTTGGAAGCCAACGCGTGCACGGTGTAAAACATTTTTATATTTAAAACATTTTTTCCAAGACTTTCATTTTTGCGAACAATATGTAGAATAAAAGCAAATTTAACACTTCTTGTGGAATGGATGATTAAGCCGGACAATCATTATAAAACAGTGACGTTAGTACACTACGTGGATTTAAAGCAGGTGGAACATCGCATGTTGATAAGCTCAGCAATTTTCCTCATTCTTCCTTATCATCTCATCCAAATTTTCTACCGGATCAAGTTCCTGTAGTTTTCGACTTTTAATATATGTTTAGAACATCTGATTGCACAGTACATTTATTTAACCTAACTAGTTATATTAGAAATGAGTTTATTTATTATGATCAAGGGGAAAAATTAACGGTGGGAAAACAAGGAAGTTAGGAAGGATTAATCGAATTTTTCTCTTCTTCTAAAACACATGTTTTCTCAAATACAACGTAAAGTTTTATTAGAAATTTGTTAATATAAGTACTTTATTTTTATAATTAAATTATTGTGGCCATTCTAGTTACAGCTTATCTTTTATTCCAGGCACGTATGGTAGAGATATTGGTTCATCCTTACCAGAATTATTATGGAAATTAGTAGAGGTAATTCCAGAAGGTTGCCGATTAAGATTAGGTATGACAAATCCACCTTACATTCTTGAACATTTAGAAGAAATCGCAAAAATCATGAAACATCCAAGAGTTTATAGTTTCCTTCATGTTCCTGTTCAATCAGGAAGTGATCAAGTTTTAGCTGATATGAAAAGAGAATATACATGTAAAGAATTCGAATATGTTGTTGATTTCTTACAATCAAAGTAAGTTTATTAAATTAATTACAACAAAAAAAATAATAAATTGATTATTTTATTGTTATTTAGAGTTCCAGGAATGACAATAGCAACCGATATAATTTGCGGATTTAACGACACACTTGTTTTATGCGAAAAACATAAATTTCCTAGTCTTTTTATCAACCAATTCTTTCCTAGACCAGGTACTCCCGCCGCAAAAATGCAAAGAATTCCAGCGCAAGAAGTTAAACAACGCACAAAAAAATTAACAGAGCTGTTTTATTCTTATGAACCATACGGCCATAAAGTCGGTGAAGTCCAGGATATTCTTGTAACAGAAATTTCCCATGATAACGAACATTTCGTGGGGCATAATAAATTTTACGAACAAGTTTTAATACCAAAAAAAGATGAGTTAATGGGAAAACTTGTTACCGTTAAAATTGAAAGTGCCACAAAATTCTCTATGATGGGGGTTGTTTATGATGGAAATGTTGTCGCTCCTGGTTTAACTAAACCTTTAAAGCAGGGTGAAGTTTCTGGAATACGAACGGTTTTAAGAGAAGGAAGTAAGCTTTGGTATGCTTTAACAGCGCTATTTTTTGCTATTATTTGCCGATTGATCTGGATTTCTATATCAAAATATATGTTATAATAAAAATTATTGAATTTTTATTTATTTTCCTTAATTGAAATCATGAATCCTGTACGCAGTGGATGAAATCGTTTGTAACAAAACATATAATTAAAAAAAATCCTATTAGCTTTATTGGATTATTGAGTTATCTAGATTTAAAGCTCTATTTAAAATAAATCAATATATAACAAAATAATGTAATAAAACAATATTAAGTATTTAATAACACAATGAAATTATTTAATAAAATTATATATTTGAGGATCGTTTACATTATTTTTTCTTCGAACGTCCTCAAGGTTACGAAGCATATAAATTTCAATAACTCCCTTTTATCCTCATTTTCACGCTGCTTGATAAGAACAAAAGAGAGTTTGGATACGTGAATCCCGAAATGACCCTGGACCGCACGAACAAATTTTTAAAGACTACCCCGGTATAAAAGACGCGAATTGCGACATCTCGGGCACAGACCGTCTCCGTCAGCGTAATCGAAGAGGAGCTAAAATGTTTGCGACAGGTAACATCAAACGCCAAAAGACTCGCGAGCAAACAAGGAGTTTGGACAACGACAATTTCCCAGGTAAGTTATACGCTAAATAAAGTGGACTCAGCGTCGTGCACGTCGTTTCTAACGGAAGAATTCTATTCCAAATTTACGTATTCATATTCAACATCAGTTATGGGACGAATCGATTACAAACCGGACGCTTCTTACACTCATCATGAAGACAACTTCTATTTTCGTTATTATAATTCAAACGAACGCTTACATGGGAGGACCATGGAGGATTGGTTGAGACCCAGCATTTTTCTTGGAAAAGCTTTTACTCCTTATCCTGGATGTGCCCCAAGACCATGGAGTGAAAACCCAACTGGATTATACAATGTTCAAAATACTCATAGTTTGGAAAATTATAAAAGAGGAGTTCGGGCTATGTTTGAATTGTGTATGAAAATGGGTGAGATTAATAAAATTATCAAAATTCGTTTTCTTAGAGAGAGAAAAAAACATTTTTGTAATTTTAAGGATTGAAGTATTGGTCTGCTTATGATAGAGATTTGGCACCTGAAGGAGAAACATCCGAAGAAACGCAATACAATTACGAGCAAATTGTCGAATTAATTCAAGAGTACCAGCAAAAAAGTGGAATTCGTCCTTTATGGATTGGAATCGATTTTAAAAATACTTACAAGTAATTTGTGTAAAACCATTTTTCCCAATTCTTTCTTATTTCTTTTTTAATAGATTTCGTAATGGAGCAGTAACCAACCCAGAAGCCACCGTGGTAACTTACGCCGGATATCAAACAAAACGAGCTTTGGACATTGCAAACAAATTGGGGGCTGAAAACGTAATGTTTTCTGGCTCCCAAGAAGGTTATTTCAACGTCATGAACACCGATTTAAATCGAGAAATGAAAAATTTCCACAAATTCCTCAAATTGATGATCGAACATAAGGACAGAATCGGATATCGCGGCCAATTATTGATGCAAACCGTTTTCGATACGCGAAATAAAAACGAGGGGAGTAAATATTGTTACGATTTTTCCAGTACTCTTTGTTTTTTGAAACATTACAATTTGGATCGACAAGTTAAATTGGTTGTTAAACCGGGACATTTTACTTATATGGCAAATGTGTAAGAAAATGAGTTCATATTTTTATTATAAAAGTTAATTTCTTTTTTGATTAAGTTATGGAAGTTTGGGTTCGGTTGATGTTAAAAACAAAAACCTTTACGACATTCATAAAGCTTCCATGACCATGAAATCGATCGTTGAAAATGGAGGAATGTCACCAGGCGGATTGACTTTTTATGTACCGCATCATAAAAGCACTTTTGACGCCAAAGATTTAGCGGAAGCTTTTATCACTGCCGTTGATACTTATGCTAAAGCTCTTCGTATTGCTATCAAATTTATAAATGATATTCAATTGAATAAGAGTATTCAGGTTGAATTATAATGATTTCTTTAATTTTTTTTATTAATAATTTTTTCGTTTTAGATGAGATATGTTAGTTTTTCTTCTGGTTGGGGTTCAAAATTCAATAGTTCAGAGGCGAATTTGGATGATTGCGAAGATCAATGCAGAAAACAAGAATCGAACGTGATGTTGCCGCCTCCATCTCGTTCCGAACATTGGCAAGCAGTTTTAACCAGAAACGTTGAAACGCCATTTCTCAAGTAGGAAGAAGATTTTTATGTTGTGTTACAAGATTCAGCACTCATTACACTTTTAAATAAATAATAAAAGTGTTAATTGGTTTAATTACCTTGATATTGGCACTTTTATTAAAGGAACCAGTTTCAGCACATTTCCTCATACACAACACGATCTTCTTCTTAACTTTTTTCTTTTCAAACTCGATCTATTTTCTACATGGTCTTTGTTTATGTTTGTATATTTATTACCGATTGATTGTCTTTAAAAATTATTTATTTTTTTGGATGTATCTTTATTGTTCTTGTAAAAAATATGTTTCGTTAATAAAATTTCTTTAAATTGGACTTTTTTAAACTTCTGTTAGGCGGACAAGATTTTGATTTTATAGGATTCCCGTAATGTTGATCTTTCGTGACATCTCTATACCTATTTTTAATAAAAAATAATGTAAATAATAAATACAAAAATAACAGTAATTATTTTATTATATAAAATAATGAATACTGACAAAATTTGCTATTATATAGGGTGTATCTAAATCATTAACGTGATGTATGGAACCAAACTGTAGAAAAAGTTCTTATAAATATGTGTCTAAAAGCGTTTCCTTAAAAAGCTACGCGCGAGTTCCAAAATTATGATTCAAGGTAGATAAACAAAATGACATCATAATGATTAATTTCAATCAACAACAAATTTCACATCGTTTATTTACGATTTTGTTATGGTTACACGTAAATATCCGCTTGGCATCGTCGAATCATTGATTGTCGAACGCACTCAAGAATTCAGAACTATCCAGCTATCCCTAACTAGAGCTGGGCAGTACCCGAGTAAAAATACAGAAAAATGTACTCCGAGTACATTTTGGAGTACTCGATACCCGGTACCCAGTTCATTCGAATCAAATGTACTTGATACCAGGTTTGTCAAATACTCTCTATTAGTACCTGATGAAACTTTATAAATGAAAATTAGCGGAGTTCAAAAAAAGCGTTCGTCATAGAAAACGAGAAACGTGGAGGAAATTTTGTGAGGAAGTTTCCTCCTGCAAGGAAGTTTCTCGGCTAAATCGGGTTCTGGCTTCAGACCCTGAACGACGAATTGGCTTACTAAAAAAGGCTGACGATTCTTATACCGACAACATTTTGGAGAGTCTTCATCTATTAATGGAAGTATATTTTTCAGGTTCCGGTAGTTCCGTGCAGATGATTGGATCTCAGCCGAAGAGATCTGCAGGGAGGAAAAAATACGGTGGGCCATCACCAGCTTCTCAAAACACCAGGACCAGGTATTATACCAGTCCTTTTACAATGGGGCTTGGAGGATTTAGTACCTCACCTAGTGGAAATCTTCCAGGCATGCCTGGCGTTGCGCTATATATCCAGTCGGTGGCGTGAGGTTACGGTGAACTTCATACCAAAACCAGGTAAGCTTGATTATTTCACACCGAAATCGTTTAGACCAATCAGTCTCCTCCTTTCTTTTGAAAACTCTGGAAAGACTGTGCGATCGCTACATTAGAGATTTCTGTCTTCCAACTAAACCAGTAAATCCTAATCAATACACTTACACTCAGGGCAAGTCCACACTAACGGCTCTTCACTCAGTGACCAGCTTTGTAGAGAGATATAGAGGGAGTTTTTGATAAACAACTTTCTCTGATATTAACGATGCCTTGTTAGAGCATAATGTTCCACCGACTCTTTGTAATTCGATTGAGAACACTCTTAAACATAGCATAGTTAAGCTAGGGCTGCCGATGTCAGTCTCCAAGGAGGAGTTACTCGAGGCTGTCCACAAGGGGGTGTAGTATCCCCACTTTTGTGGAACCTCACCCTGGATAACCTCTTGAACCGCCTCGCTGAAGCCAACTTTACTACAGTTGGTTACGCAGATGATTTAACCATTCTCGTCAAAGGCAAGTACATAAACGTGCTTTTTGATAGGATGCAAGTAGCTCTCAAATTGATAGAGACTTGGTATGACGAACAAAGACTCCCTGTGAATCCTAAGAAGACAGAGTTGATTCTTTTCACACGGATGAGGAAGTTTGGCAAGCCCAGAATGCCATCCCTTGCTAATACTCCATTGGTGTTGTCAAAAGAGGTCAAATATCTGGGCATCACACATGACAACAAATTGACATGGAGAGCCCACCTAGATAATAGAGTAAAAAAAGCATACGTTGCATTCGGTCAATGACGGAGGGCTATAGATAAGACATGGCTTTCTCACCAATTCTGGAATGTACAGTACCGCTCAAAAGTACATGATAATTTGGTTTTTTCCACATAACTTTTTTGAAACTTTATTAAAGCAGACCATTTCTTCACCATAGTTTTTGCAATGTATTTCACATGACATAGATTTGTATAGAAAAATCCGTTTCAACTTAGAGTTATTAAAAAATTATTTTTATTAAAATACCAAAATACGCTATAAAGCGATGTTAACAAAAATAAATCATAACTCAAGAAATATCAACATAACAATCGTGAACGGCAATCAGCCATGTAGAGCAACCTAGTACTTGGTTGGGTAACCCATCCTGTTGATCACAGCCTGACATCTGGGCATGGAATCGATCAATGCACCGTGGACTGGTCGATCTTCACCCACTTCGCCTGCCGCTGTTGGAGCTTTTCGTCGGCGGAAGTGGTCCGAATGCCCGTCAACTTGTGTCAAAGAGTGTCCCACAGTGGTTTGAAGATGTTGAGATCCGGGCTTTGGCTGCACCAGTCCATTATCGCCACTCAACGCTGCGCGATCCAGTTGGACATTCTTGGATGTGTGCTTGGGATCATTGTCTTGCTGAAACAGGCAACACCGACCCATGTTTTTGCGTGGCCAAGGAAGCATGTCATCTTGCAGACAGTCCCTGTACTTCTGGCGGTCCATGGTGCCCGTAATGCGAACCAGAAGGGCCGGTGATAGCAGCGCTGAAGCACCCCCACACCATGATGGAACCACCGACATGCTTCATCGTGGGAAGCAGGTACTTGGGATCGAAGCGAGTGCCCAAAGGATGCCGTATGCGATATGTCATCAGTTCCGAATAGCAAGAACTTGCTGTCGTCGCTCCACAGGGATGTTTTCCTACTCCACACGTGCCTTCCTGTTCTTACCTGAAACGAGTGGTTTCTTTACCGGACGTCCACCAATGAGTCCCGCATCCTTCAGTTTCCTCTTGACCGTCGATGTAGACGGTTGGCGCTGCGCAGAACACCACAATTCTACCCTAATGTCCACCGTCGTGAGCCGTGTGTTCGCTCTGCACAGCATCGCGCCGTTCGTGTCCTCCAGCCGGTTGGTGATTTGAGGTCTATCATTTTAGTTTCTTCGTCACGAAGCAACCAAGTGTCAACCACGTCTTCAATACCGATGATATCTGCGTGGTAAGCTGGATCTGTGTGCATCCTTGTCGAGCACCCTATATGATGGCTTTCTGCGTCGATTCTGACAAATCTCGAACTCCTTTCTTTTTACTCATTCTTAAGAATAATATTTCATAACTTTCAGGAAATATCACGTGAAAATAACGCGAAACAAAAAATTAAAATAAAAGTTATTTCTAGGCCTGACATCGATTTTCAAAAGAAATTTGTCACGCCTCTATCCTTTGGCATATATTGTATCCTCTGGAATATAATATAATTGTATTCACTCGTTATGCATTCAAATTATCATATACTCTGAGCGGTACTAGTGACTTTACACCCCTACAACACATTTTTACGAAGAAATATCTCATCCACCCAAGTTCCACAGAAGTAGAGGAAAAAAACAGCCCTAAAATCTACACTGATGGTTAAAGTACCACCGTCATACAGGCGGTGCTATTCGCCATACAACTTGCCGCTGACGTTATTGTCAGATCCAACTTAGTAGGTAAGTCTTTTACAATTTATACTGACAGTAGATAAGCTATTTTAGCCCTGAGTAGAATAACAATTACATCGGGATTTGTTATGGGCTGTCATCTGACATTGGAGAAGGCCGCAGTGAATAACTGTCTTATATTTCAATGGACAACAGGACACTCGACTTGTTCAGGTAACAAGCACGCTGATAGGCTTGCCAAAAGGGCTGCCAAGCGAGCGCCATGTTCACCTGAACCGATAATCGCTCCGTTCTTATCAACTCAGATTGAGATAATTAAAGATTTTACCTACAAAAAGTTTATGAACTGGTCTATCCAGACATACAAAAGTGTAGCCGTCTATACCCACACTGACTAAATAATATCGGACTTAGCCAGATCTCCGTAATAGCCACAATATCAAAAGAACTGAACTCAACCAAATCCGAAAACTGATGAAAGTGAGTCGTCAGTGAACGCACGTTTAGATGCACAATTCTAAAATAGTTGTGGTTCATAGTAATGAACCACAACTTTTTTTTTTTTTCTTTCAAATCAATTCAATAGCGCCTCCGTGGTATGGTTAAGGTCCTGCTATTGGGTTGCTTGTAGTCTTCTCACTTCCACTAAGACAATGCTTCTGATAGGTTATTCACTTGTTGATGAATCTGGAATTCTCGATTTACAATGAATTTTGATTGAGTTCGTATATTTTCGTGATACCAGCGAGTACCAATCCACATTCCATCCTTTTCTTTTTCGCCACATTTAATTGTAACACGTTTTCTTTCGGGACTTATTAAAGGCTACTCATTTCTTGAAATACTCTTAACGAACGGTTTTTCTGTACGTTGAGCTTCATAAGTGCAAAACTCTCATTTTGGATTGGTTTACTATTAGTTATACAAAAAAATCGTTTTTCATTGACTTGCTGGCATGGTTAATTCGTGGAAATGTATCGTATGTTATTTTCGATCAAATAAAGATTGTGATTTTCAAAATATTGAGCTGATAAGTCGGTGGTAGGAGGTTCATAAAGGAATTTCTAGGAGAAAATTGTATTTATGTTGTTTTCTAAACGCTTTAACTGTGATTATTCTTTCCAATGAATAAATATTGTCTTCATTGATTAGCATGGGTAATTTTCTTTTCGAATTTAGTTTTTGAATATTTTTCATTTCTTGTAAAAGGATAATACGTTTGTAATTTTGCAAAAGTTTTGGCTACGATTAATTTATCTAATAAAAAATTAATAGTTATGATATTATTGATAATTTGAAATAACATAACATTTAGAGCAGTTCTTTTCTTCAATACCAACTCAAATATGACTACTTTTTTCATTGTCTCGCCAAGTTGCTGTATTATGGATTCCATTACGAGTTGCTTTTTCTGTATCTTCTCCAAATTTGCCTTAAGCTCATTAACCTCTTAAGCGCCTATGTCGTATATAATCATCATCACGAAAGTCGCTGCGAAGTGGGTATGCCGAATATATCCGCATCTTAGAAATTAAAGTGATATTCAATAGGCACGAAGATTTTCGCCAAGTATATTCCATATTTAGCTAGCATAGACTTCGGTCTAACACATGTTTGAACTGGTTTCACGTTTTAATTCGCTGTTCGCTTTTAAAACACATTTCTGCGCTTTTGTTCGGTGATTTGTTCTTATCATTTGGACATGGCAAAAAAAAATTACATGTATATATGTGTGATTCTGAAGATTCCGATACGGACGACGATTACAGCGATGCTTCTGGTGATTCTTCAGATCACGATTTTGAAAGTGAAAATAAAAATGTAGATTCTTTTGTTGACTTTCCTTGGAGCGATTCTGATCTTCCTCGACCACATTTTATCATATACACTAGTGAAGATACGTTATATGGTTCTCATTACCCTGATGAACTGGTATCTTCTGTGTAAGTTCCAAAACTATCATGGTTTTGGAACGTACACATTCACTCCTGGGATGACTACTGTTTATTATTAGATAATTATTACTCAAGTATTAATCTCAGTGATAAATTAGAGAAATGTGAGACTGACTGTGTAGGAACTGTCCGATCAAACAGGAGAGGAATCCCAGAAGAAGTTAAAAACACAAAAGTAGTAAGAGGTGAACAAATTGCACAATTTAGAAAGAAGCAGATGATGTTGAAATGGAAAGACAAAAAAGATATGATAATGGTAAGCTCCTTCCACGACAACGACACTCAAGATGTAATTTTGAAAAGAGGACATACAGTAAAAAAAGCCTATAGCAGTTGTAGAATACAACACAGGCATGCGCGGTGTAGACCTAGCGGACAATACTTATATTTTTATTCCTCTGTCAGGAACCTAAAAAAAATTTACTTGAAAATATTTCGCCACTTTTTGAACATAACTACCATAAATTGTTACCAAATTCATAGAAAACTTGGTGAAATGCTTGGCGAAAAATCTTTCAAAAGACCGATCAAGGACACCAAGGCCTTCTTGGCTACTAGAGCGACATTTCCCAGATTTCATTCCACCTACAACAAAACAAAAGCCGACAAAACTTGCGTCCTTTGTTATAAAAACAAAAGTAAAGAATGACGGTACTAGTGCAAAGACGCACGACTTAACTCGAAAGTTTCTAGTTCTAGGTCTAGTGTTAGTTCTAGTGATAGTTATTATGTTGTTTTAATAATGAAATAAACCTAATAAGCAGAAACTGTAATTCATTTTTTACGCAGTGGGCATGACGATTTTAAAAATAAAGATTATGGGTGTGACGAATATGTTCGCATGCGTCAAAACGAATCGCACACCAGGTTGTCCACATACGCTCGACGTAAAAAGCGCTTAAGAGGTTAATACCTTTCAATTATAAAGATATTTGTTTTCTTATGTCTTTGGTATTTCCTACTGGTTTTTCTCTAGTGTGGCAATTGTACTGTCATATCTAACAGCATCCTTTTGGTCCACCACTCTTGGTTGTTAGTGTTGGTCCAGGTTTCCAGAGATTGCTGTTATTATTTCACCCAGGGCATTCAAAGCTCCTCTCTTGGTGATTTGAGGTATTACTCAACGAACATTGTTGTTCATTAGTTCTTGTTCTAAAGTCAAGAACTAATGAGTTCTTAATAAGAGGTCCTGTTAACTCTTGCAAATAGTGGATCTTCTCATAGAATGTATTAAATACTCCCAAAAGTTCTTTAAACGTTCTTTATAACGTGCATTTATCTCCTTAGTTTCGTCCACAATTGGTTGTAAGTCATCCAGTCCAGTAAGAGATCGTGTTTGTGGTCGTTCCTAAATATACTGGAAATGGCGGATCTTCAATTTTTGACAGTTTTGCAATCACTCCTTGGGCGATGATCAATTTCATTGCGTGGTTCGATTGAGTCGTCTCGAACTTATAAAAATAACTTAAAAAAAGATCGATACGATAAATATACATTAAAGTATGTGAGGATTAAAGAAGCAATTTAATCATTATTTTTTAATAATGCTTAATTTATTATTTAATAATGCTTAATTTATTATTTAAAGTACATAAACGAACATTAAAGGTGGTAAAGCCTAAAAAAGAAAACTTAAATTCTTTTAAAGCCTTGGTACACTTTTTTATAATAGTACATTATGCCATTAAAATAAAGACTAGTAATAAAAAAAATTAATAAAAAGTAGAGTCCTAACGAATAAATAAAACCACAGATAAAATAATAAAATTGTGTGCAGAATTTTTAGATTAATATAAAATACAGCAGCAACAAAAAATCGAGACTAGATCTTATAACTTAAGCACAAAAAAACTTAAGTATCTCATAACATAACTACTTAAAAATTTCTTTTCATTCATTCTTATTTGTATATTTAAAGGCAACTTAATATCAATGGTGATAAAAAATAATCCCATCAATTTCATTTTAACACTTTAAGTTATCTTAAATCACCATCAATTTAAGGATAATAAGATACAATACGTTGTAGTATACTTTTTTCTTACAAAAAATTAACTGCATCTATATTTTCTTTTATAGTACTCTATCCATATTTATATTCGAGCCTGTTAAAATCAAAAATAAATATTGTTCTATTCTAACAAGTAAATTAACGTAATTACAACCAATATCACCTGATAAGCTCCTATTTTTATCCCTTAACATTCATCAGACGGTTCCGTCCCAAAATACCGATCCCCAAAATTCCCAATTCCAGGTAAAACATAAAACTTATCGTTTATTTCGGGATCAACAGCCGTCGTAACGATTTGGACTTTCGGAAAGGCGTAAGCGATTGCGTGAACTCCTGATTCGGCCATTAAAAGTGAAACGATTAGAATGTTTGCTTCGTCTACGTCGTGATCTAACAAAACTCTAATTGCCATCATTGCCGCTGCACCCGTAGCAACCGTTGCGTCCATTAAAATAACTTTGTAGTCTTTAATATCCTTTGGAAGTCGTAAATAGAATAGCTATAAACAAGTTTATTAAAAGAAACATTTAACAAAAATGTTAGTTTTTAAAACCTCTGGTTCCCCTGTATGAAAATTAGTTTGGATTAAAATTTTTCCTATTCTTATATCTTTACAAACATCTGAAAACGCTTGTTCCATAGTTTCTCCAGCTCGTAAAATTGAAACGCCACATATTTTATTTGAGGCCATTCTTTTACCTAATATGAAAAATTTTATTCCAAAAATTATGTGCTTTAGCGATTTTTGTTACCATAATATTGAACTCCCTGAGGTGTATCAACAATTTTTTCTGAAAACGGCATTAACGATAACGTATACTCTATAACCAACCTAATAAGTCTTTTGCTATAAAAAATAAACTCATCCCGAGGAGTATCTTTGTTTCGTATAAAAGTATGTAATCCCTGAATTTGTGGAGTTGAAGGTAATAATCTTACAGTATCTGGTCGGGGTAGGTTTAAATTACAATGAGTTTGTGCTAATTCTTCACGCAATTTAAATCCTCTCTACAAAAAAAAAAAAAGAAAATAGAGGAAGGCATGAGTATAGTGTATTATTTAAAAACATGGGAGAACAAATTCTTTCATAATCACTAATTACATTTTAAATATAGTTAAATTTGATTGGTTTTGATTAATTGTAAATAGCAAAATAAAAGCTACAGAATCAATGTAAATTGATTACGGATGCAATTGACTGCATCCTGTGAGTGATAGAAGTTTATAAAACTGTTGGTTATGTTTATATCTTATAGTTGAGGAGGAATTTTCACAGAAAATGCGTTTTTTCGGAAAATTTCTAATTAATTAGCTTTATTAGAACTGTACTAAATGAAAGAGATTCATAATCCGCAATTTCCAGCAAATGATTAGGATATTGAATCAATTACCACAATTCTGATTCACTGTTCTCTTCACTGTCGATTTGAGAATAAGAGAGAATTTATTGAGAGTGGACTTCATATGATTCGAAATATCAAGTTCCAAAATATTGTCCTTGCTTTTTGGTCATCATTAATGACACGTCTGTTCTCAAAAGAAAACAGTTAAGTATTTTCATTCTGGTCAACTAAGTGGCACTCAAACACATCAACAGATACTATATTCTCATCCCAATACTACCTTTCTGTGACTACTTGAGCAGCTTCTTTTAGGGGGTCAAAAATTTATCTCATGAAAAAAGAGTTGCTATCAGAGTGGTTGTAATTATGTGTGCGAGCGTTTTATTAATAACAATGTGACATGGCTTAATAAAGACTTGGGTGTTCCGGAGATACTGCCATCATAGCTTTTGGCAAAAGAAGTATGGCAGATCAAGAATATTGTTCGAGAGACGCAATAAACAATGGCATAATGAAGTAGTTATATTAGAACACAGATCAGAAAATGTATACTTGGCAGAATCAACTTTGGTGAAATCCGGAAAACGAACTTCAGCTCATTTTGTGAAATTAGTAATCTAATCTTCGCCCAAAACAGAAAAAAAATGAAAGAGGTGCATTATACAGCAGCATTTACTAATATGAGACCAATATTAAAACTATGGAAAACAAGGTTGTGATATCCTTGGGCCAAATAATGGTCCATAAGGTGTCCATTTAGTGTTTTTTTTTAATCATAAATATGTTATTTAGACAGTGGCAGCTCTTTCCCGCTGTAAATCTTGACAGAAAGTCAGTATCATATCTCCGCGGAACGAAATAAATCGTTTTACGCTTGAACAACGTTGGAAAATATTGCAAAACTATTTCCAAAGTCAATGTTGTGTAACCCAAGCAGTGCGTTTATTGAAAAGAAGTTTTGGCCGAAATGAGGCACTTACCGCGCCTGCTGTACGCAAGTTTGTGCACAAAGTTCGTAAGACTGGAATGCTAGTGAATAACACCCACGGATCCCGCCGTCGTACGGTGCGCACTGACGGGAATGTGGCTGCCGTAGCCGAGATGTACGAGTCAGTCCTGAAACATCAACTCGCCATCGATCTCAACAAGTCAACATTTCACGTACAAGCCTGGATGCGAATTTTGCACAAAGACCTCACATTATTCGCTTACAAGGTCCAATTGATTCAGCAATTGAAGACACACGACTATCCGCTTTGTTATCGCTTCTCAGATTGGGCATGGTTTGGGCCTTAGAGCAGCTTGAAATGGACAACGATTTTGCTCGAAAAATCATCTTTTTTGACAAAGCGCATTTTCATCTCGGCGGCTATGTTAACAAGCAAAACTGCCGCACCTGGGGATCGGAAAGCCCACACGTGATCCTCGACAAGCCAATGCATCTTCAGAGAGTAACAGTTTAGTGCGCATTTTGGAACGGTGGCATCATGCGCCATTTTTCTTTGAAAATGCTGTTAGAAACGCAATTTCGGTCAACGGTGATCGCTATAGAGGCATGATAAACGATTTTTTGTGGCCGAAAATTGAAGGGCGCCATGCCACACAGCTTTCAGCTACAATAGATCTTTTGCGCCTCAAGTTCTTAGAAAACTGGGTTAACAGGATGCGCTACCGCGAAGCTAGCCGAGACAACCACATGAATGAAATCGTGTTTAATAATATACCGAAAAAAAATGATTTTTGTTCACTTTTTTTAATTATTAAAAAGAAACCACTTTATGGACCACCCTATAGATCTTCTTGTACATACTACACAGTGTCTGAGGAAAATCAACCGCAGACTGTATTAATAGCGCATTAAATGTTAGAAGCTCACACCATATTCTCCGTAATATTGCCGCTCTGTAAGTGTCAGATTTGTTTGTTAGAGTCTGTTCTGGTCAGAAAAAATGCTCCATCCTGTGTAGCTGCAACAGCCATCATAGCCGCTGTGCTTTTACAAAGTGCACTACATCCTCGCCCCCTCATATCATGCTATTCGGCTCGTAGTTCATTCTGAGTCTCCAGCTACCGTCTTCCTCCTGCAAAGGGCCGAACATCTTACGGAGTATATTCCGCTCAAACATTCTCAGCGTGGTCCCTTCTTTTTATGTCATCAACCACGTGTCAACATCATAGGTACTACAAGCAGCAGAAAAGTTACGAAAAATTAAGGTTTCATTAGGTTCATATAGAAAGGAGGAATCCGGCGCCTCGCCTGGAAGCGACCTCAGCAGTTTGAAGGTAAATGTCTTCTTATAAGAGACTTTGTCTCTTTACAAAATTATACTTTACTACTTTACAAATTATAAGGCAGGATTATACCTCAAATCACTGTGGTCGCTTGCGACCGAGACTAGAATCCTCTAAAAATAACGATTTCATCTAGATATATCAAATCCAGCGCAAGCAACCTCAGTGGTTTGAGGGTAGACGTTTTCTTATATCTGTTTTTGTATCTTTACCAAGATCTACAGGTGTTCCTAAATTGATGCGAAAGATTTCAAGGGGTGATTTTTCAGTAAAATTAAGGGGTTTTGAATAAAAAGTTATATGAAAGACCCCCTTAATTTTTGCTGAAAAATCACGCCTTGAAATCTTTCGCACCAATTTAGAAAAATCCTGTATAAGGAACAATTTCTTAAAATTCGAATTATGTATTTTTTAAACCTTTTGAAAGCAGGTCAAGCAATTAAGATAAAAAAAATGAGAAGCAAATTGTAAAACAAAGAAAGATACATAGTCACATAAAATTGATTTTGGAGAACTAATAAAATAACTTCTAGTGGACATTGGATCCCAGTGGCGCCGACGGCTGTGAGGCTTGAGTGCCCCGTAGTCGGCGGCACGGGTCTTGAGCCCCCCGGAAAATTGTAAAAGTGTACAATTGTATTGTAATAAGGTATAGCATTTGAAAAAGTTCAGCCCCCCCTTAAATATTAAAAAGTCGGCGCCACTGTTGGATCCATATTATACCTATATAAATTTAAATGGTTAGCAACCAATGACGTCCACTATGCACAAAATTTTAGTGCAATATGCTTTGCTAGCTATAGCACAAGCAAAGAATCAAACACTTTCCTTCATGCTGACAAAATTTTGCCTACAACAAATATAAAAATCAAATCTTTCCTGAAAGAAATAATTAATATGCTTCTTCCAGTCGAACTGACAAATAAATCTAATGGCATTTTAAAAAACACCTCTTCAAAGAAGCTTTCAAAGCGAATATCTTAAGAAAATTGATCTTTATTTTATACATAACATTAGCAGCGTTTCTACTGAAAAAAATTGGTCAATTTATATAGACTTTTTGAAACTCATAACTAAATTTCGTTTGGTTAGTTCAAGCAAATCACACATTCTGCGTTGGTTCATCAATAGTCAGAAATGTTTTCTGTTGTGTAAATCCTTAGTGCAACTTAAAAAAAAGGTAAAGTTAGCTTGAAAAATCGATTATTTCTTGATATTAGTATCCTGTTAAAAATGTCGTGATGTTTGTTACCACTAAGAGACTCAAAACCATTAAGATTCAAATCCAATTTCAGTTTTTAATTGATCGAACGATTTAGCTACTGCTTCTTGTGTATCGAGTATGATACACAAATATGAAGAAAACACTTCGTTCGAACATATTTTAGAAAGTAATGGTGAACCAAAAAAACCGTTATAGTTAAAGGTTAGGTATTGAAACGGATTCTAAGAGACAGCAGACTCAGAAATGAAGCATTATTTTAACAAAGTCAACCAGGAAGCCCCTTCTATGAGTTTAGTTATGAGAGACGTAAAAAATCTTAAGATACAAAAGTTTTAGTGTTTTTTAAAATCTATTACAATAAAGACAAATTAAGTATACAGGGTCAGTCAAAAAGTTTATGACGCAACCAAGTTGTGTTTTCTTTAATGGAACATCTCGAAATTCTAAACAAAATTCATGTAGCACATCATAAACCTAAACTTAACCGTTTTCGAGATATTGAACTTTGAAAATCACTCTTATAAAATACACAAAAATATTTTTGTCGATTATGTCCATAATTCATCAAGGTACCTCGAAAGCTTCTCATTTCCATAGCAATGTAGTCACGCATGTCAAAGCAACACATGTCAAAAATACAAAAGTAGTTTAACCTTTGTGTCCCAAGAAGTCAAAAATTTTGAAACTTTGTGACAGAATTAAAACGCTATCAAAATACACTCAGTAGAAGCCTTTGGAATCAATTTTAGCAAAATATGCAATCCCCCCATTCCAGGGGGATAATGGTACTTGAGAGTACCGTTAAGCTTTAAAATATATTTTCAGTATACAAAAACTATTATTGCTAATATAAAAATAATACATTTTTTATTACGTTAGAAAATAAGTAACATTTACTTTATCTAAATCACATTATGACATTCAGAAAAACAGTTCTTTCTTTCATTACAACATAAATAAGCATTGCACACGGGTACGTTTTGAGCTTTAGCAGAACAATTTTTACAACTTCCCCTTTCTTTTGAACTTGCGCTACGACATTTTCGTGGACGCAGTAAATTTGAATATTTATTTATCAGACCTGTATTTACAGAACGACGAAAATCGGATTGAATATTGAGAAAAAACATATTGAGCAAAAACTAACATTTTCGCATAATCTAAGTGTGAAAAAAGATGCTAATTTAAAAATTCGTGGAAGCCGTATTTATTGAAATTGAGGAATGAGACTTATTCTAAATTAAAGCTCAAAGTTTTCTTTTTAAAATGATGTATAATAATTGTTGGGTTGGATTGGAAAAATATTGAGAAAAAAAATTTTGAAACAAAACTTACATTTTCGTATAACCTAAAAGTGTCAAATAAGATGCTAATTTAAAAATTCGTGGAAGCCGTATTTCTTGAAATTGAGGAATGAGACTTATTCTAAATTAAAGCTGAAAGCTTTCTCTTTAAAATGATCTGTAATAATCACACCTAATAACCATTTATCAAAGAGATACCTTTTTGAACAACAAAATTCAACAAGACCACTTTTCACTAAACTTCTAACCTCACACCTGGACGAATAAGTTTAAATATACCTAAAAACCAACCCTACAGTGCGGATTGTGTCATTTTTTATACAGATTCTTTCTTGTATATTAGAAAGTACCGACAGAATTACCGGTACTTTAAAGTACCCTCGGGACACAGAGGGTTAAATAATTTGCGCCCAAAGATAAATTACGTCACTAATTTGATGAATTCGTAAATTTTTAAAAGCTCGATATCTGGAAGACGGTTTAGTTAAGGTCTATGATGTGTTACATGAATTGTTTCAGGTGTTCCAGTAAAGAAAACGTAATTTTGTTTCGTCATAACTTCTTGACTGACCCTGTATACTTAATTTGTCTTTATTGTAATAGATTTTAAAAAAATAGTAAAACTTTTGTACCTCAACATTTTTTTCTAGCTACTTTAGGAGATAACTGATCATTTTCATACATATCAGCAACCCTGTATAATAGCTTTAATGATTTGATTAAAATGAGTTATTAGATATTTAAATAAAATGAATACCACAAAACATGTTTCACCATTTATAAGGTTGACAATGTTGTGTTAATAGACACCTAAGACAATTATTTAGTATCTAGTATTCCTTGATCTTAGTGATATAATTGAATTTATCCTTCATATTTTCAAATATATTTAATCAAGTCATAATAATCATCAAACTTTTCAAGACCTCAGTTTACATTTTACTTAGTGAGAAGTCACTATTGATCCTAGCCCAGCTAAAAATTTGCTGAACTTTCCTGGTAAGCTGTAAGAGGTATTCAAATCCACTCTGTAGAACCTAAAGATTCAAATTTCCATTTGAAAATAAAAATAATTTTCTAAAGTTCAATGTTATTATGACTTAACTATACATATAAAAATAAGATGTAAAAATTACCAGTTGTAATTGTGTATGAATATGTTGTACAATTAATTGAATAGCAACTTCATTCTCACCACCCCGAGGTATTATTATATCAGCATGCGCCATTAAGGGTGCAATATAATGATTGAAAGAAGGTTGTACCATCCCAGTATATTGTTTTAAAACCCCTTCCAAATCACGTCCTCTTTGTTGAATATCGCGTTTTAAACGCCGCGCTAATCGAACGTCAGCATCCGTATCAACAAACACCTTCATATCGAGCATTGCCAAAACAGAAGGATTATAAAAAGTTAAAATACCTTCGAAAATAATTACATTTGCGCCATACATAGTTTTCTAAAAATTCATACTTTTAAGTTTCTTAAGTTAAGTTAATAATTATCAACATACAGTTCTAGTTTCTCTAGAATGAGTAACAAAGTTGTAAATGGGAACTTCAACTTTCCTCCCTTCTTTCAGTCGTTGCAACGTTTCTATAAGTAAATCAAAATCGAAAGCGTCGGGGTGATCGAAATTATATTCGTTTCGATGGGCTATATCATGTTGTTTTTCGTTTAATACTTTGTAAAAAGAATCCATACTAAGTAAAGTCACCCAAGGTATACCTAGATATTCGATTATTTTTTCTGCTACTGTTGTTTTTCCAGAAGCGCTGCCTCCACATATACCTATAATAAGTAATTAAATTATTTTTAATTAATTTAAAGGTTCTTATGACATAATATAATATAAAGAGAGTGATTAAGTGGTTAAGTATGATTAATGAACATTTTCAAAATGTTATAGATAGATAATGTTAAGCAATTCTATAAAAATGTATAAAATTAAAAGAATTTCAATGTCATTAAAGTCATTTATTAAATGCTTTAGCTTAGGTATTAATTTGAAAATATATTGAAGTAGCACTTTTTTTGTTTATCAAATTGAATGTAATGCAAAAGAAAGAAACAATAGAACGATAAGTGTAATATAATTCCATTTATAACCACAAAAATGTTTATGTATTTTTGATATCGAATGGAATTTCTTGTGATAAAAAAGAATTTAATATTTGCAGGTCTGGAATAAATCTTATCAGTGTTTCTGTACATGTTCTAAAGTAGTATAAGAGTTATCTATACCAAATAAGTTAAGATAAACACCTTTGAAAACAAAATAAATGACTAATTTTGCTTTACATTTTAATTTAAAATTTACTTACCTATCACAAAGGGTTCTACTTGTTGCCCTGCACAATTGTACCATGGGGGCCTTCCAGCCGTATAAATTGTCCTATGTTGTTTTGTACGCATTATTGATTCAGTGGCAGTTTTCTTATAAGACTGATTAATAGAAGTAGTTCTTTGCCGCCTGGGTCTAGGAGATTTTTGTGAACCTAAATCAATTCAAAATGTTAATTATGGTTTACATTTATGATTTATAATCGTTTTTACCAGTTGAAGGCGGTCGAGGACAATATGGTACAGTAATGGGAGAAGCCGGTGTATTATAAAAATCGCCACTTTTTTCCTCCTCACCCTCAATATCAGGGAAGACCTCAGAGAAATCGGCTTGAGTTTCGCCACCATCGCTACAATAAAGAACGGTTGTTACAGAAGTCATAGTGACGTTTGAGGTTATGTTTTCGGTAAATTATTTTCACTCCAAAATTAAAATCAATTTAGTAGACACTAAACTGGCAATAACCGGACCAATTAGCGTATATCGTCACCGTTAAGAACCAACGGAATGTCGCAAACGACTAACTTGCGGTGTATTTCCCACGTTTCGCACACAGCACACGTGAAATTCTGCGCATCGCGGTATTTCCGTACTTGATAACAAGGAACCACGGTTTATACACGTATTTATTTGGTGGGGCTGATGTTTACCTGTCGGAACTTGCAGAGGACGGGGCGTCAAAATGAATCGATGCCATTATGTATTGGTTTGTAAATCTTTTAGGAACTACTGTCAGAGCAAATTAGCACGTATTTTCTTTTTGCAAATTGCACTCTCTTTAACTGTTTGCATTGGAAAGAGAGATGTATTTCGTAAAGATTCTGCGCAGTATGGATTTGTTGTTTCCTTAGGAATTGCTCTAATCTCTGTTAGAAATGCTCGCTCTAAATTATAGGAAGTAGGTACGTAGATTTTGTTGATTCAGTGCCAAGAGATTACTTTTTATCTCTTTCTTATCTATTTTGTGTAAGTACTGATTTCTCCTAAAGAAGAGATTAAAAATGATATATTAGGAGTATTATGTGATACAAAATCACAAATATTCATACTTATTTGCCTGTATTCAATTGAGAAAGTTAATTATGTACAGGTGGACAAAAAATACTAATAGGCATATTAGAAATTCGTTTTTGGTACATTATAATATGCCAAAAACTAATTAAAATAATTATTTGACGTTTTTCAAATTTGACCCCCTAAAATGATTGCATGTCATTTGCTCACACATCCTGTATATAAGCGATTAGCAGTATTAAAATAATATTCTGACATATTTATTAAACAAACGATACGATTACGGTAATAATTGGTTTCTATATTATTTATATAAAAATATTTCATACTTCATACATAACCTGTAAGTTTGTTTACCTCTTAAAATATTCCAAACGTCAGATTTGATTTTCCCCTAGAATTTATAGTGAAATGTCCCCAGATTTTAATTTGCTCGAAATAATCAAAAATAAAACATCTTTTATTCTTAATTTTTATAACGATTATGTAAAATAGTAACTTAATGGCTACTGCTAAAGTTTACTCTTAATTAACCGAAACATTTTACCAAAGTGCGATATTTGTCTTGAGTTCTTGAGCTAATAATTAAAGTGTTGTTTCTATGTACATTGGGTTTCAAAAGAAATGAACCACTCCGAAGGAGGAGACGCACAACTTCAAAATTACGTAGAAATAGTTAGTGCCTAGAGACAAACAAATGATTAAATTTACATAAACAAATGACAATATTTATTGACAATACTGTTAATAATGTGTTGCATCTCCGCGTACTCTTATACATTCAGTAACCCTTCGTGGCATGCTGGAAATCAGATGGTCGATTGCCTCTTTTGGCAGCTCATTCCAGACTACCTGTAGCTGTTGACGTAATTCCTCTAAAGTGTTGGAAGGATGGGGTAATCGACGTAATTTTCTCTCCATCATATCTACCATCATATCTATCTCCATCATATATATCGTTTTTCAAAAAGCTTTTTCAATCGGGATTCTGTTCTGGCTTCAGTTGCACGACCACTCTCTTGGATATCATTGACAATGTACTTCATGGAATTGTTAGTGGCAGTACTGTCTTTGCAATCACAGTAAGTNAAAAATAAAACATCTTTTATTCTTAATTTTTATAACGATTATGTAAAATAGTAACTTAATGAGTACTGCTAAAGTTTACTCTTAATTAACCGAAAAATATTTGTCTTGAGCTAATAATTAAAGTGGTGTTTCTATGTACACTGGATTTTAAAAGAAATGAACCACTCCGAAGGAGGAGACGCAGAACTTCAAAATTACGTAGAAATAGTTAGTGCCTAGAGACAAACAAATGATTAAATTTTCATAAACAAATGACAAATGATATGCTGGATCAGCTTCAAAAAGTATCAGTAGAAGTGGATCTAAGGATGAACCTTCAAAAAACAAAGATCTTGAGTCCAGACGTTCTGCCGTTTTTGATCGAAAATCATATTATAGAAGTTGTAGAACACTATGTCTACCTTTATTATTGTTATTATTACTGCCGGGCTCTAGTAACCGCGATCTATGAGATCTATTGTAACTTAATCCCTCCAAAGGTTTACGGCAAATCTAGGTCCTTGATGAATCTTAATATTGCTCCAAGAACTTGTTCGTTTATGTCACAGTAGGTGTCAGCCAAACCTTTTCGAAAATTTTGTGTCTTAGGCGACCTCTGGCAACGCATTCACACGCAGTCAACAAGTTTGATCCTCAGCTTATTCAAAGTTGAATAGATGGTATTTTAGGGGCCTATGGCCTGTCAGGAAACATGAGAGCGACCTTAGGTTCCCTTTGCTGAGGCATAAAAGCTCTTTTGTTTTCTGTTATCATACTTCGGGGTTATCACACTCTTTGTCCTGGAAGTTCATTCCAGTGCAATTCTACGTTTGGGTCCTCCCATGTGCTAAGTATTAAAAATGGACCAAAAATATTATTTGTCACATTTAAATAGTTAATACAGGAACTTTGTTCGTTGGGACTGCACTACTCTGCACGACATGGCATTAGTATGACGTGCTAGTGCAATTAAGTGTAAGTAAGTGCAATGTCTTGTCAACTGAGTGCAGATCAGAAAAGTGTGTAAACCGTGATCGCAACGAACAGATTTTTATCAAAAAAAGTGTATAATATTTGAAATGGATGAACAGGAGATTGTCAGTGAAATAGTCGCAGAAAATGAAATCATCGCAGAATGTTTTTTTAGTAGCGATTCATCTGACAGTGATGTAGAATTACTTAATAAATGTTCTTATAGCGTTGACAAGCACGCGAGGACAACCATAAGAAATTATTGCACTGAGGAAAAATAAAATAATTTGGACATGATGATATTCATAAATAATTATTTTTAAATAGTTTCTAGTTACACAGAAGTTGAATTTTTTTCACACTTTAGAATAAGCAAAGCTTTATGCTATACTTTGATTGATAAATTTACTGTTAGTGAAATTTATCAAAAAATATTAAGCGCAGGTAATAGTATTAAACAGTTGATTCTTTTTGGTATTGAAATAAATAAAACATGTGATAGGTAACAGAAACATTTAGGCGGAAAAGCATTATTTAGCTTTTTTATGGTTTTGTGACCATTAAACTGTCATTCCGGGATGTGGCTGATAGATTCGATCTATCAATAAGTAGTTTGCATGATATCATAACAAGAGTATCTCTTTGGCTAAGTAATATGGCACGTGATGTTGTAAAATGGCCTTCTAAAGAAGAAAAAACATACCAAGGAGTATTATAAAAGAATTTCAGGATTAGTGTGATTCGCGTGACCTAGTGTGATTCGCCATTATTTGTATGGTTTGTAAATTAAGTATACATATTGTTACAATTCAGGATGTTATTCCTTATTTTAAAAGAAACATGTTTTTAAAGAAATTGCTTTTTATTTTTATTACAGGTGCAATAGATGGAACACATATTAAAATTGATAGGCCAAAAGAAAGAGGGACCGATTATTGCAACAGAAAAGATTATTTTTCTATTATATTACAACGAACATGCAATAAAAAAAAATGTATAGACTTATTTATTGGATTTCCAGAATCTGTTCATGATGCACGAGTCTTCCAAAACTCTCCATTGTATAATTTTTTATATAGTAATGATGAAGGCAATTATTTAGATTATTTAACAGTCAGTAGTATATGTATATTTACTTATTTACAAGTACTGTTTGTTTTATAGATAGCTGTATATTAGGAGATAGTGCATATCCATTATCAGAACGTGTAATAGTGCCATATAAAGATAATGGACATCTAACATCCGCACAGAAACACTTCAATAGAAAACACAGCCAATGCCGTGTATCTATTGAATTCACGTTCGGATTGTTGAAACAAAGATGCCGGCAGTTGTATCACCTGAAGCTTCGTGGCCCAGAAAGAATTTGTCATTTCATTCGTGCATGTTGTGTTTTACACAATTTGATAAAATATCCTCTAATTCCGTTTCGTATGGGCAGGATCTTCTACCTCTTCCAGTTTTCTTTGATGTTAAAATTTTGTTTTTATAACCTCTTTTAAGACTCTTCCACTTGTTCTCTACTTGGGGAGGAGATGCAATGTACCCATACCCCTTCATTCTATCGCTTATCAAATTCCACATTTTCTTTAAAGTTTTTATTTTCCGTTCTTCAACTAAACTTTTTTTTTCTTTATATAGATGCCGTCATAATTTTATTTTTGCAACATCCCAATCCATTTTTTTGATTTTCTTTATTTTCTTCATCACTATTTCTTAATCGTATTGCCCATCTTCAAAACTATAAAATTCTTGGCCTTTTTCCACTGCCTCTACTGGGATTGAATGTACTGTGTTCTATAGTACCACAAATATTAATTATTAAGCGGTCTTCACACGATCAATATATATTGTCAATATTATTGAACGTGTGAGTAGAAAGATTGACATATTGTCAATGTTATGAATATTGATGGTGGGATGGTTTGACGAAAACGGAAATATTTGATATATTGACAGTCTGAGGGAGATATTAACCATCCTACGTTAGTAGGATTATATTACGGATTATATCGCGTAATAATGAATTCAGACAGATATAATTTAATGGACGAAAGTGCTATTAACTCCCAGGATGGTTCATTAACAATAGCAATTACAGTTTGTCAATATTTATTGGCCATATTGACAATTGACAATATTTTATTGACAATATATATTGATCGTGTGAAGGGCGCTTTATAAGGTTTTATTTCTGACTGTATTAATAATAATATTATGGCTACTTACCTACAAAAATCAAATAACAATTCTTTTCGATGATTTTATCTCCATCTTCATTTATGACAAAACACGCTTCCAAATGTTCTGACATTTTAGTTACATTGACAAGGGAAGTGTCGGAATTGTGTATACGACATTTAGGGGTGGCTGAGGATTTTTGTGTAGGAGGCAGGAGTATGAAAATTATTAGCGAAATATATTTTTTCTTCAAACGTCATTAAATGACAACTTTGTTGTCGTGTTTACTCGCGGTAGAAGTAAGTCATTGTTGCATAACGACGGTTGGTAAGATCAACATAGCAAAAAAGTACTTCAGCGTTATGGCGCTAAAGTAAATTTCACTTTAGCGCCATAGCGCTGAAGCACATGTCACTTTAGCGCCGTATTGGAAAATAAGTTAATTGTCATTTTATTAAATTTATTAAAATTTATATTGCAATTATTTGCAATGTTTGAAGAAAAAATACTATGTTTTATTCGGAAGAGAAGCAGATTCGTTTGTGGCTGGTCCGTCATTGCCGGACTCACTTCGTTCGTCCGGCAAACTGTCGGACACGCCACAATTTTAACGGCTCATCTGTCATTAGCGACTCACTGCGTTCGTCGCTAAGCGACAGACCACGCCATAAAAAGCACTGCTTCTCTTCCATATAAAACAATATACTATTCTACACCAAACTACTAACCCTTATAAGTTCTTTCAAAAGTACTACTTAACGTATAAAGAAATCACATGCTAAATTGTACCAAAATCGATAAGTAGCACTTGTCAAAAAGAAAAATATGGGGTGGTGAGGGTAGTTAACCCTAGCCACCCCTAATTGAGAAAAAACACGTAATTAATATTTTTAAAGTTACTATAAGTGTATTTAATGCCGCCAAAATCGACAGGGTAGTTTTTAAATTATTCCAAAAAAGTAGGGGTAGTGTACCCCTTGAAACCTTCAGATATGTGTATATCAATGAAAACCTCTTTAAAAATGATATCAGTTTACATTTGCCACATTTCGATAGCTGCTTTCGTCTTCAAGCTATACGCGAATCTATACCGTTCGCCTCGATTTAATCTATCTTGTCCATTTATCTATCGACTATCTTGTCCATTTTCTACTGCCTCTACTGGGATTGAATGTACTGTGTTCTTTAATACAACAAATATTATTATAAGGTTTATTTCTTAATATTTAATATTAATTATTACAAAATACGCTTCCAAATATTCCGCCATTTTAGTTACACTCAAATACACTGCACTAACTTGCACTGGCTGCACGAAATTGCACTGCGCATGGCCCAACGAATAGTATAAGTGAAACTGCACTAAACTACACTAAATAATATATATAATTTCGTAAATAATTGAAATAGGACATACATATGTTCATTAACTTTTTTTGTGGTAATTGGATTAGCTATCATATGTCAAAGTTTGATGGTGAGATAATAAATCATCCTGTATAAATAGTATTTATTTATACAAACCTTTTATTATATGTATACATATAAACCACGTTGAAGTTAAAAATCTACCATGTACTTTATTTGAAAATCGCCATATAGGTATCCCAGCTAAACAGAAACATGACAATCTCACTACTACTAGCATTCCGTTACAATTATATACCGGGTGTCCCATCGGTTGTGGTTTACGAATAATTTGCAAAAATGTTAAAAATAACGAAATTTATGGTTTTATTTTTTAACGATTCTTATACCATATGATGTGGGAATCATAGTAAAGGAAATTCACACCAAAAAAATTGCGATTTATTCATTAATTACGATAAAAATTAAGAAAAATGAAATGACAGTTAAATTTATGGTACCGTGGCCGTTTTGATGGGTTAATCCATTTTTAAGAATGTTTCTTTCCCTCCTACATAAGGACACGAATGTAAACTATTTTGGTCTTTTCGGTTACTAACCTCAGTGAGGAGCGATCATCTCCAACGCAGCTTTAAAACACGTAGATCACAATACATAGACAAAGCTAAATACTGTGTCGCTAAGCTAAGTCGCAGTCTTCAGTGCAGATGATTTGAAACTTGCAGGTTAATCCTAAAATTATTGGCTGCCTTGCCCGAACGATCTACTTCTCCTATAGAAAAGTTTTAATTTATAAACATATGATTGTGATGTACAACATTTTCTTCGCTGAACATTAGCGTTTCACATTTGATAGAAGGTATTAATTATATTCAATTTTATTCGTATTCAACATTTCTTAATGTGGTAAAGTGGTTCTTTGTTTTACTTTTCCTTTTCCTGTCAGTCTTAATTTGTTTTTCAAAAAGCTTTTCCAATCGGAATTCTGTTCTGGCTTCAGTTGCACGACCACTCTCTTGGATATTATTGACAATTGGAATTGATAGTGGCAGAATTGTCTTTGCAACCGATCACAGTAAGTAATTTAATGGAGAGCTGTCTGGCTTCTATACTTAAACCTATTTTGTTTTCAATTTACACTTCCCAACTGTGTTTGGCTCTAGAGCATTGTTAAGCCCATATCAAATTTCGCCTTTCCGTTATAGTCTTTAGAGGCCGGAGAGCGTTGGATAAGATCAATGACACTTTGAGTGTACGAATTAACTCTGATATTTTGGAAATTGCTAAGAAGTCGAGGGATCTTGGTGTTACTGTTGATAGCGATTTAATATTTCGATCACATACCGGTAATCTTCTGCGTCATGCGTATGCAACCTTAAAAATCCTTTATAATAGTAGACACTTATAGGAGCAGAAACTCCCGGATACATTTTTATAATGTATTGGTTCTCTCAATCTTTAATTACGATGATGTTTTGCACGGATCGTGTATTGCCAGTATCTACAGAACAAGGATACAAAGAGTTCAAAATGTTTTGTCTATGGGATTCGAAAATATGAGAAAATATCGCATACATTAGGATGGGTGGGTTGGTTGAATATGTTAAATCGCTGAGCTCTCCATTCCGCTTGTCTCTACCGTAAGATCTTAACTAATAAATCTCCTCCATATTTGTTTAATAAAATTACTTATAAGACAGACGATTACAGCATATTAGGCAAAAGTAAGTTGTTATATTTCGTTCTCAACTGCATTGTCTGAAAATATAATGAATTCATAAATTTTGAACTGATTTGAAGTTACTTAAATTTGTGATTTTGCGCTGTTTTGTTTAATTTTGGAACCCCTGTTGCAAAAGTTTGTATGGTGCTAAGGCATTATTGATCCCACGTTTGGCCTTTAAACATCGTTCTGTTATAGGAATTTTTTCTATCAACATATCTGTTACTCTTTCTCCAATTTATGGAGATGATCACTTCCAGTAACGACCTCCCTAAAGCTACTGTAGCCTGGATGTCATTATGCAAATTCTCATCATCCTTCTTTAATGTGACAACATTTAGCCAGACTCTTTTCCTCCAACAACTATTCAATGTGGATTTTTTCAATTCACTGCGCGACTGTTCTACAATTTTAATAATAACCAGCAATGTTGTAATTTGTCCCGTATTGTGGTAAAGTAGTATTGTGTTTTAGTTTCATTATTGGACATAAAAGTTCTTGAGAGCATTTTTTGCAAGAAAGACCGGTCTGGTCTGCATTGAATACTTGCTGCGGGACATAACCATTATCTTGAAGTATCCTCTTTAGGAATTCTGATTACAGCTTTGCTGCCTCGTGATCGACTGAAGCAGACTCTTCCATTAATTTCAAATTGTAAAGGCTGTGACGATTGTAAATTTGTCGAATCAACCCTTACTGGCGACAAATGGTTCTAGTTCATTATTTTGATGAAGAGGTTGCACCTTTCATAAAATTGTCGTATAGGTTTGTAGCTTTATCTCTAATGAGTCCAGAGTTTAGAGTAGCTCTTTATTGAGTTTGATCCTCATCTATAAAATAAACGCGTTTTGAACTTCTTGTATACGTCCTTTTCTAGTATATCAGCCAAATGTTGAAGATTCAAATTGAAATTACAACACTTTCTCGAATTTTGTCTTTATTTTTACGAATAGTTCTTATATAAGATTCGTTAACGGTATTTTTTGTAGCTGCTTCTGCTACAGTCATTCTTTTATCTAGATCGCACATTATTGTCAAAGTGATAATACTTTTCTAGATCGGTTACTAGATTGGTCACTGTTTCCTTTTATTCACTTATTTATGTACATTATTGTATTAAATTATGATGTTATTGTCTTTTCTTGTAATGCTTGGGTTTAATAAATGTTATTATTATACTCTTTCAATTTGTAAGTTGAACTAAAATATGTACTGTAGATATGAACTGGTGAAAGCAATATTGGCCCCCACAGTATACGTATGTGAGAGTTGCAGAAGAGTCAGGTGTGATATAACAGATTAAGCGATAACTAGGTTGAAACAGCAATGTTTCCGATTTTTTAAAGTCAATGTTTATTGCTAATAAATCAATTTTTTCGAACTGGAGTTACAGAAGCAGTATTTTGGTATGAAGGAAGTGAACAGAAATAACTGATGAGCTCTTCGTATATGCTTAAGTTAATGTTTATAGCTAATAAATCAATCTTTTCGAGCTAGGGTTGCAGAAGCAGTATTTTGGCATTAAGGAAGCGAACAGAAATAACTTATGAGCTCTGCGTATATGCTTAAGTCAATGTTTCTAGCTAACAATCAATCTTTTCGAACTAAGGTTGCAGAAGCAGTGTTTTGGCATGAATGAAGTGAACAGAAATAACTGATGAGCTCTGCGTATACGCTTAAGTCAATATTTATAGCTAATAAGTCAATCTTTCCGAACTAGGGTTGCAGAAGCAGTATTTTAGCATGAAGGAAGTGAACAGAAATATCTGATGAGCTCTGCGTATATGCTTAAGTCAATGTTTATAGCTAATCAATCAATTTTTTCGAACTAGGGTTGCAGAAGCAGTATTTTGGCATGAAAGAAGTGAACAGAAATAACTGAAGATCTATGCGTATATGCTTAAATCAATGTTTAATATTTATAAATGAATATTATTAATTATTATTTATAAATTATATATATTAAACTTAATAAAATGTTAATTATGATATAAAAAAGCAATTTATTTACTTGGAATGTATTTTTAATATTATACATTATAATAACAAAAAATTGTGCTAATTTTGGCTAAGATTCAAAAATTGCAAATAAAATCAAGCTTTCTTCTGATTTCGATTAATTAACATAACTTTGTATTCCTCGGGAATTAATGTAATTCCAGGAATAGGCGTTCCTGTTGGTTTTGGACGGTTTGGGGCATTGGTTATGATGTATTTTCTAAGAACGCCAACGAAAATCAAAAAAATATACGATCTGGCTAAAGATTCTCCTGGGCATCGTCTTCTACCTAAAATCAACATATAATTTTAATAAAAATCAAACCATTTTAAATATATCGCTTTTTTTAACCTAATCCAAACGGAATAAGTTTTTCTGAAGTGACCAATTTTCCATTTTCATCCAAAAATCTTTCCGGTCGAAACACTTCAGGATCACCCCAAATATTTTTATCCATATGAACTGAATAATTGCTAATTAATACTGTTGTATCTTTAGGTATGAAATAATTATCTAGAACGGTGTCACGAAGAGTTCTTCTTGGACCCGTTATTGGTGTTACATGACAAAAACGTTTGACCTCCATTATAACAGCTTCAACATATGGTACTCTAAAAAAAATTATTATAGATAATTTAATATTATTTAATTAATAACTTATTACTTCATTCTATCGGAATAAGTTATAACATGATCTTCCTCAAATACGTTATCAATTTCAGTTTGAATCTTTTTTTGAATAGCTGGGTGTAAGATAATCATTAGAAACGCAAATTCTAAAGTATAAGTAACTGTGTGTGATCCTGCTATAAAAATGTCGATGCAAATCATTAAAAGTTGATCATCTAAAAAAAATGGTTATAAAATATGATATTACAAATACAAAAATATTAAAAAATACTTGTAAAACTTGGATGAACATCGTTTCCTTCTTTCATATGGCTAATAAAAGCATGAATAACATCGTCGTCTCTCCCCGGGTTCCATTCCTCATGATGTTTATCAATAATCTCTTGAAAAAATGATCGCATTTGCTCGTTTAATCGCAATATTAAATTATAACCGGTTTTTTCTGGGGCGATAAATCTCAACCACGGAAACATATTTAAACGACCTCCAGCCATATCAAAAGCGGATTGTCTAATTTTTAGGAGCTTAAACATGTCTTGGAGGCGAGTATCATCTTTTGGGAGGCGACTTCCTGCTACTAAACGCCAAAGAATACTTAGTACAGACATTGAAAGTATTGGACCGACTTGTACTGCGGTTTTATTGGAATATTCGAATGTTAAAAGTAACTCTTCTAATTCCTCGTGAACCATACGTTCGATAGTTTCTTTACCAAAACCGAGTTGACGCATATGTTTCATTACGAAAGTTCTTTGGATTAACCATAATTCCCCATCAGCGGAAGTAATACCTACAAAAATATATTCATTTTTATTTTTCCACAAAATTAAAAAAGATTGTTAATAAATATTTATACCAATTTTTTGGCCCATCGATCTTAATCTCAAAAAAAAATCATTTGGTCTTCCATCATAATCTTCCGAACATAAAATTTGTTTAACTAATGGATACGATAAAACGACCACAACTTTTCTATTCCCTAATTTTAACCCAATGATGTTACTTTCATATTGTTTTGACATGAAATTGAAGGCTTTGTGTTGACCTCCTAATTTTCTTGAGATTTCTCCTAATTCTTTTATACATCCTGTAAAAGGATACCAAAAAGGACCTGTGTAAAAAAAAATAAATTAATTAATTACTTGTTAAAATATTAAACAAAATATACAACTTCAATTAAGTCTGTTGTGTCTAAAAATGAGATGAAATTAAAATATGTCTATAAATACAAAGTGAATTGTTAATTGTAAATTGTTTTGTCCGTGTTTTGAAATGAAATGTTTAATAGTTCAAATATTGAACTCTATGTACCTCCCATTCACTGATAAAATTGATAAAATCACTGACGTAATGTAAATATTAATATTAAGAGCGACTTACCAGGAGGAAAGTTATGAGGTTTTTTGCTAGAAGTATGTACGTATAACAAACACATCAATATCAATATAAGACTCAAGACAAATAACATCTTGAGGCTGTTGAGAAGTGAATCAGAAATTTAAAACGTCCCGTTTTGCTCGGTTAAATTGAATTAATGTCTGTACATGAATTAATCGGGACTAAATGCCGTTGGGCAATTGGCCAAGAATCTACACACACTACTATTACTATCTATATCTCTATACATAAGTTGAAATAAGAGCTTATCGCCTGTACGGAAGGTATTATATATATAGAAATTTGATGCGGATATCCCATTATATACTTCAAATAAATCCGTAATGACGTTGTCCATTCGCATTCCTTTGCAATGGTTTCGTAGAAGTATTTTCAGTTATTTCTTATAAATCCTTCATATCAGTTGATTTATTATGATGTATTTACGGTTTTTTTAATCCCTTTATTTATGTGGAGCATTTAACTAAACATAAGCATTGCTAAGAAATTTTATTATTTTATTTTCCTGTCTTTTAATTCTTTTGAAAGGTTTTTTACATCTTTAAATAAATATAATGAATTCTGAATTAAAATTAAAATAAACTGATAATTTTTCTAAATTATAATATATGGATTAAATAAATTAAGCACATTAAATAAAAATATTTTCTTGACATCTTCTTGAATATATTATTGTTGGCACTAAATATATAAAATTTTTATTACTCTGCATTTAAAGTGTACAATATCTAATTATTTTAAAGTAATTTGCAACGATCAAATTTTCATCTTCACATCATTAATCCATAAAATTGTGTAAAAAGTGTTAGAATAATGTGTTTGCGGCGTTTGAATCGGGATCTTTTTCCGACACACGATGGGAAGTGTAATTATTTCGCCGAGTATACTTATCATGTACTTTGCTATTAATTGATAAATAGTGTTTTGCGAGTAACCAAATTTAGAATCAGACTGAAATGATCTCGCAAATATTATGTCTTATCTCGTAGTATTACTAACACGCGTGGTATCACGTTTTTATTTTGCTACCGCATCGCGTGATTCGCATTCCAATTTTGATAAAAAAAAAATTGAAAAATTAGTAGAAAGAGTTAGACAACATACATTTTTATACAGTCATGAATCGAGTGAATATCGCGATAACATATTTATCACTAAGAATGGGAGCAACATTCCTTTACACAACATATGATTGATTAATTTTTTTATACTTAAAAAACGTGACACAAACAACTTCGGACAGTTTGTATCTCATCACATTTAGACTAGGTATTTTATTACTAGAAATAAAGTGCTGAATCAGGTCGACAACTTTCGCTGATACAAGCTTGAATATCTGTAACTATATGGTATCATTTTCTTCTTGAACATTCATATGTAAGAATAGTATCGTTGTCTTCTTCCTCTATCTAGCTTTCAAGCATGGTATTATTAATTTTGTCTTTTATTAGAGGTATTAAATTCTCAACCACATTATTCAACTTGGCATTTCTAGCAGCACTAACAAACAAATATCGTGGATAGTGGGACAATTTTCTACAAGTTCAAGGTGATCCTTCCTTATGTCGATGATATCGTCATAATTGACAGGAACCAAAACCAACTCAGGGAGACTTACAACGAGCTGCAAAAGGAGGCCAGAAAGGTTGGACTGGAGGTAAACGTAGAAAAAAACAAAATACTTAAACCTGTCACCAAAAGAAGGACGATGAAATAGACATGATATCATTATCGAGGTTGCAAACTTCGAAAATTTCGTGTATCTGGGAGCTGAAATAAACAACATAAACCGGATTGGCTCCGATATACACAGGAGAATACTTGCTGCCAATAGAGCCTATTACGCTAACAAAAAGTTTATCAGGTCTACAATCATCTCCAGAACAACCAAAAACAGGATATACAAAACTCTGATTGGGCCAGTTGCCATATATGGATAAATATATAGATAAATATATGAAGAAACATGGAGCCTGACAGCTAACGATACAAAGAACTTCTTGTTTTTGAAAGAAAAATAATCAGACGAATATTCGATGTTCCAATTGTATTTTAGAGAGAGAAAACATTGTACGCTTTGTAAAGGCCCAACGTCTCAAATGGATTGGACATGTCATGAGAATGACAAATCACCAGCTACCAGAAGAATGATCGAGTCTAACAAACATTGGTAAGAAGTATGGAGATGCGAAATTAGAAAGGCAGAACTGCAGATCGAGATGGATGGCGCGAAGTCGTGAAGCTGGCTAAGGTTCACCCCGAGCTGTAACGCCGAAGAAGCAGAAAAGGCATGAACCATTTTTTCTTCCACTACTCGGCTGTTACACTTCTTGAACTTTTTGCACAGCAGTCTTCCGTACACACTATTATGCTAAACAGAAACGTATCACAGATATCGTATCTTGTCAGGAATTGGGTGAGGTAGAGGTTTGACTCTCCGTAGCCCTTCCGTAGCCATGTATTGATGTTAGGAATCAAAGTCCTTATTTAGCATGTAGGGACGTGCTTTTTCTAATTTGGACACGATGGTCTTACTCTTATATATATATATAGATATAGATATGTAACTCTTTATTAAGCCCACCAAATAAACCTTTTTTCTTTGCTTCGGCTAGCAAGTTTCTTGTTGTGGCTATCAGACAAGCTGGTCTACACGACATTTCGTTCATTTTAGCTTTTCGACCACACTGAAAACAATGTTGTTCATAATATCAATGAACAGTGATTGTTGACTGATTTTCATTGTCTCAATGAAGGTTTTCGTTGACACAATGAAGATTTGTTCATAGACTAAAAACCCTGTTTAGCAATATGATGAACGCATATTCATTACATTGCATATTACTTTACGCATATTAATGCAACGCATATTATTTTGAAGACATTTCATTGGCTCAAAGAAGTTTTTTGTAATTACAATGAAGGTGTTCATCAAACTTTACATGGTATTAACGACTATTAGTCATTGATATAATGTAAATACTTCATTGTATTAAAGAAGAAGTTTCATCAATGCAATGATTTTAACTGCTAAGAATATTGTTCTTTATATCAATGAATAAAATTCATCAATCACAAGCCTACACCGCCGTATTCCACGAATTTAAGTCAGCGATTTCTTTATCGTCAGACCACTGCGCAACTCGTCGCATTGTCGCATCTTTAACAGTGATCAGTTGAGTGAAGAAGTGTGTATTTTTCCAAAAATATGTAGTATAATAAATATATATGGGCGCATTGAGACAAAGACTTGTTTCCATTCGACAAATGAAAAGTTGCATTAGATCATGATAAGTTCTTTATAATTTCATGAAAAATGTTCATCGTTACAGCGAAATCGATTTCATATAATTAATGTAACACTCTTCATTGAGACAATGAATTGAGTAATGGATTTTCAGCCGAAAATCCTTTGAATCGGCTGAAAATCCATTACTCAATTCATTGTCTCAATGTAGCTTTTCATTGTATTTAATGTACATTTTTGGTTCAGTGCAGATTAGTTGTTTTTCATCTTGTGAGAAGAAGTGGTCCTTCGGTACAATCATTGAAGTTTTAAACATTTAAACATAGCGTTCGTAGTATTTCCAGAGGGATTCTATTTTGTTCGGGATTACTTTACTTATTTTATTGTTTGCTGTGGAAAGTTCTTCATTCGCATTCTTTTACGCAATCGGTTTATGGTTTCGAAGAAGTATTTTCAGTTATTTCTTATAAAACCGTGATATCAGTTGTTTTGTTATGTATTTACGTTTTTTAAAAATCTTTTTACTTATGCGGAGCATTTAAGTAAATATAAGTATTTCTAAGATTTCTTTTATTTTATTTTCCTGTCTTTTAATTCTTTGAAAAGATTTTTAAAATGTTTAAATAAATTTAATAAATTCTGAATTAAATTTAAAATAAACTGATTATCTCTCTAAATAATATGGATTAAATAAATTGGGTAAATTAAATAAAAATATTTTCTTAACATCATTTCTTGACATCTTCTTGAATATATTATTGTTGGCACTAAATATATTAAATTTTTATTACTTTGCATTTGAAGTGTACAATATTTAATTATTTTAAAGTAATTTACAACGATCAATTTTCATCTTCACATCATTAATTCATAAAATTGTGTAAAAAGTGTTAAAAATGTGTTTGCTGCGTTTGAATCGGGATCTTTTTTCGACACACGATGGGAAGTGTAAGTGGAAAGTTCTTCTCCTGGTCGAGCTCTATTGGTGTTGTAGTTACCTTACACCTCCGTTGTTTCATAGTTGTATTTAAATTTAGTACCAATTTTCTTCTCGTTCTGGTAACTACACTATCTATGAAGTATTGATACAACCCAACCCAATCCTCCTTGGCATGCTTTCCACAAATTGTTGTATTATAGCTAGTGGTATTATTTTCCACCCTACTTTGGAAATTAAAGTAACTTTTTTCACAGATTTTGGACGATTAATTTTGCGATCCAATTCATTTCTTGATACACCAAGAACATCTCGATGGAGTTCAGGGCTGGACTCTAGGCTGACCAATTCTTTACGGTATACTATGTATTATATATATTATAGTAGTTAAGTTAGTTATTTTTAGTTTTAAGAGTTTAGGTGGGTAATAGAAAAGACGTTAGATCATAGAGAATGACATGTAAGAACTTGTAAGAAGCCACGTTGTTTTAACTAATAAAAATACATTTTTAATATTAAACGGAGTTTAATATAACATGGTGTCAGGTGTGTGACGAATGGTACTAATAAGTAAACATGTCGTTACCTACCGATTTGGTAAATCTTTTAATGCAACAGACAGAAACATTGAGGGTATTAAACGAAGAAATAAAAGTAACGCGATCCGAGAAAACATTGCAACAACAAGTATGTATGCCATGGCCTTCACCATTAGTAGTAAACAAGGGCGATGTATCGCAAAACTTTGATCATTTTGTAGAAAATTGGAAAGATTATGACATAGTGTAAGAGAATCCATGTTGCAAGATTTATATATAATTAAGAAATAAAAGAAAAATAACTTCTTTCTTGCTTTTTTATTAAATTTCCTCGGTACCGGTTTCGACTAAACAGTCATCCTGAGCCGAATCTACATATATGTTAAAAAATATTTTACATAAAANTTATATATATAGTAGTTAAGTTAGTTATTTTTAGTTTTAAGAGTTTAGGTGGGTAATAGAAAAGACGTTAGATCATAGAGAATGGCATGTAAGAACTTGTAAGAAGCCA